GACGCCCACGACGATGCCGCCGCTGTGGCAGCCGGTGCGCCACCCTCTCCTCCGCCACCGCCCCTTGATCTTCCGCGCTGATGTCGCCGCAGCCCAACCGGCATTTCCTGCGGCGGAGCGCACGCACTACGTCGGCCTCTACTACGCTCGTTTTCATGCCGCCCACCCGATGCTGGTGCCTCATGCCCACTTCGACGCCCAGCAATACCCCGACTTCCTCGTCACCGCCGTGTGTCTTGTCGGCAAGCACTGCACCCCCCATCGGCCAACCGAGGCTTCCATATCGGCCGCTTTCGCCACGGTGGCGGCTGCCAGCGATGCGGACAGCGGCCACCGGATCCAGGCCTTCATTCTGCTGGCCCTCATTTTCTTCGCCTTCAACGAAATGGCCCAGGTGAGCGATTGTCTCGAGCGTGCCGCTGTTCTGGCATGCCAGTCGAGGATTGACGCACTCGATGAATTTTCGTCACGGGAGCACGTATCCAGTCTCAGGCGGGAAAGTCTTCTCCGCACCTGGTGGGAGCTCTACACCGTCGATGCTCTTGCTGCACTGTTGAAAGGGGTACAACCCACGTTGAAGACGCGCTGCATCGATGCCCTCCCCACGATCCCTTGCACAGAAGCGCAGTACGAAACCGGCGAGCCGGCCGCACAGTCGACGTCGTACACCGAGTTCGAACGCCGCACTTTCCGCTCAGACTCTCCTACCTTCTCCTCGCACTTCTATCGCACAGAAGCGGTGGGCATTCTTCGCACGGTGCTCCCTCTCTACACGAGGGACAACTCCAACGCACAAGACGTGGAAGCTGCCAGCATGTCGGTAGCAAGCTGGACGTATCGGCTCTCGGAAACGTCTTACCCCTTTTCCGAATCTCTTCTGGAATGCGATCAGCTATTGATTCAGGCACAAATGCTGGTGCAGGTGGCAAGCATCTTCCTGCATTTCCCACGCAGCAATCTGCCCAGCTCCAAGCCATCCGCCGTCGACATCACATGCCTGAGCAACGGACCGCAGGTGGTGGAGAACTCTGCTCTGCACACTGTCCAAGCCATTGCTGCTTCCAACGAGCTCTGTAGCATGGCTTCCATTCTACATCTCCGAGACAGCCACTCGCCGCTGGCCATATGCGCATTCCTCTTGGGTACAGCTGTGCAGCTCTCAGTTGCGGCGGAATGCGACAAATGCCAAGTGGACAAAATTCAACAGTGTCGCCAACGCGTCGTCCTACTGCTCGGCGCGCTGAGATCTATCGGAAAGACTTGGCCAGCTGTACAGAGTGCGGTGCATTTGCTTGGGCCCTTCGCCGACACCGTTTTCCCAGCATCTAGCAACAGGCCGCAACGTATGAACGTCTCCTCAACCAGTGAGTCACATGCTACGACTACCACTTACACGTATGGATGCGAACAGCGCCCTGCCATCGTGGCGGACTCGGCGGTGTTTCAAACCGCATTCGACAACGAGTGGTTTAACTTCTTCCAGTCAGAGACATGAGACACGTAGGAGTACTGCGTCGTCGTCATACGCTGCAATACATCCAGCCTAGCTTCGGCATGGGCAAGAACCTGATACTGCAAAGTCCTTCAATATGGGTTATATAGCACGATCAGATTTCCAGTGTCATACTGAGAAACGCGTACAGCAGCTCCAAGAACCACGCTCGAGCCCGCCGAAGCCGCATCCGGAGGCTGCTCCGTGATTCCTATGTTACCACAGAACTGTAGTCGAGTACACAAGATGACACCGCTTCAAAGCTTAATCAACATTTGCCAGGATCCGTAGTCTGGTTTTGTATATCCCGAAGCGGCCCTAGGAGGATCGGGGTCTCGAAACCAACTGAAACACACTCGGGGAATAGTGTGCCAAGTCAGCGCGAAATCATCTTTCGAGGCCACAACAGGACTCTCCGCACTTTCCTTCAATATATTCCCCGCAGAAGGGCTGCGATCCTTTCTTCTGTACCTGACTCAAATCAGAGCGTCCGACCGAGGCATCCATCACGTTGCGCTTAAGCAATCGCCGAACGTCGAACAATTTGATCAAGACAAACATGTCATCCCCCACGCAACTTCAGGTTCTCCTTCTCGCCTTCAAGGATATGAACATCCTCGATCTGACAGGTCCCTGCGAAGTTTTCGCCCATGCCAAAGCCAAGCTTACCGTTGGAGCGTCCTCAGAGATCACGACTAGCTTCGAAGGCATTTCTGTCCAACGAGACCGTTCTCTCGCCTCGCTACTTGACTCTCAAGACACAATGTCCGACGATACGTCCACTCTGCCACCTTTGGAGCAATACGATGTCCTCGTCATTCCAGGCAGCCTGTTTGAACGCGTTCTCGCAGCGATCGAACACGACGCCGATATCTGCAACGTCATCGCCAAATGGGCGAATCTCGCTCGTCCTCCCGTAACAGCTTCTACTGGAAATTGGAAGAATCGGAAACCCCTCCTCACAATTTGCGGAGGCGCATCATTCGCTGGATATCTTGGCCTGCTCGGCGGAAAGCCCTGTACAACACATTATCTGGATCTCGAAGGGCTGCAGGCGGTTTGCGTGCGAGCGGGCCAAAAGGCAGATGTAGTGAGGAAGAGGGTCGTGGATGCTGGAGAGACAAGTGCTGGCATGAGAGTTCTGACATCCGGGGGCGTGAGCTGTGGAATCGATGCGAGTCTCTGGTTGGTAGGCCAGATGGTGGGCTTGGATGAGGCAAAGAGTGCAGCGAGATTGATGGACTATAAGTGGGAGGTCGACCTCGATGGAGATATCACGAAAGGAATGTTGGTTTGATCGCGCAGGATGACCCTTCGATGGGTATGCAACGTAGGAACTCTTCTGGCTGATGGCTCTGCTATTGATAGCCACTTGAGGTTGTTATCGGGGTTCTAGTGCAGGATGCGACCGGGCATGCCGCCAACCTGACCAAGTTCCCCTCGCTCATATCGGAAAAGCATTGTCCAACAAAGTAGCCTATACTGGTGGCGGACTTATCACGGTCCTGATCAAGGCCCGAACTGTTTCAGTTGATGTCTGTAGTGTCGCCGATAGTCCTCCAAGTCTTGACAACTCGTCGAAATGCGCTCGAAAACAGCAACATCGGCGTTACCGCCCGAGTGACCCGCAGAGCTGTGGCCACAATGCAACGTATGCTGCAGACTTCCGACATGTCCATCTATCATCCCGCCTCCCAAGATCGCGCGATGCAATTTCCTCCAGGTGTAGGCGCAATGGAGGTCGTGGTAGTCCTGGCCAGGAGTAAAGTACAACAGCAAGAGCCCACCAATTGTGCGGATGCTGAGTTGATGTCCATATGATATGTATAGGCTACACGGTGAGTATGATTGACAGCTTCTACTATCTGCAAGCACCAGCGTTTCTTAAGCTCGAGAGGAAGCCTCACGCGATCTTCATTTGCTTTCTTCAGTCTATTACCCAAATCCCCATTGGACAGGTAAGGCCAGAGACATCCGCATATGACCTTTGCACCAGCATTCAATGTCAAGGTCACGGCGGTAGTTGTAGGCGCGAGTATTCGTTGATGCCTGGGCATCTGAGCGACGACATTATTTGCGTGGTGCCACACGTTGATCATACCACGAATATTGGAGTCCGTTTTGCCGTCGCTGTAGTTGAGAAACGTCCTAGAGTCAAGCCCATTGAACACGGAGAACCCGGCCTCGTCACCTTTTCGTCGATTTGGTTGAACATCCGCGGCCTCCAAGGTGGTTGTAACGAAGCAGATCCTCAAATGGCACGAACTCGGTGATGTCTTTCATCCATGGCTGAGCAGTACCTGTGGAAAATTAGTTGAAAGCATTGTAGTGTGCATGCTGTACCAACCAACCTTCACTCTCTTGACAAATTTCATGAATGTGTCGAAACCAGGATGATGTACGATCGTCCACCTCAGATTATCTCCATCTGCACTATCCAAATCGACAATCACGTCCACAGCGTCGATGGCAGGATTTTAAATGACATGTGGCCAGACCTCACGAACCGCTGCCCAAATCGTTGCACGCATCTCGTTTCCATCGACGAAGTCAGCTTGGGTCGAATTTGCACCTGCCGACACTCGCGGGCCAGATGCATGATAGAACTTCACTATTCGATTGGCCAGTGATGGAGGGTCTGCTGCATGGTTCTGCTCGAATCGAAAGATGACAGTCAGGCCCCATAACCTTGAGCATAAACTTCGGTCTCATTGGCGCTTCCCCATATCCATTCTGGCACAAACCTCGTCATCGCGAATCTGCTCAGGTGTCAGAAACATGCCTTTCTGCCTAGCTGGAACGAAGGTCGAGCTCCTAGGAGCTCTTACATCAACTTTGCACGAGTCAATTTAGTTTGTGAAGAGTCGTGCGGCAAAGAGGGCGGTGACCTGCAGTGTAGCAAGCCAAGAGCCAGCTCAACAAGCTCATGCACCAATACCATCTACCAATTAAACAGAGCCGCTCAAATTCGCTCTTCAATACTGCACCTCGTGAGAAGGACACAGTGCAGAAAGTCCGAATTTGTGCCAATGACAACAGTGATTGTGCGTGCAGTGTGATTCCGTGCCAAACGGCATGAGCTTGGACACGAAGCCAAAACCAGCAGGAGAATGCTAAACAATTGAATATCTCTGCTCTGGGGTCCACAAACGTCGTGAAAGTTGAACAGAGATCAAAGCGAGGATGTTGAAAGGGTAATGGTCGCACTCAAACCTATCCTGAGACGGAGTTCTGTTCTTTTAATTCAATCCGGCCTTCCAAGTCGGACTCAAGCTTGAATTTTATCCCTTTGCTTACTTCGTCGATATCCTCGATGTAGACATTGTCTTTGTAAGCGGTGAGATCAGGACCATGAAAGAGGAGTGGCAGTGGAGAAGACTTCCACGATCTGACTTCTCGTGGAAGATGTGTCGAAGCGACGATGACGCCGCAGAAGAACAGCAACGTCAAGCTTGTCACAGCTAATGGCAGGGATAGCCAGGCCCATCGGACTGCAACGCAGGTTTTGGTTATGTAAGTGTTCCCGATGGCTGGATAGGTAGTATTGTTGAACTCTTCTACACCGCGATTCATCCGTATCTGGCTTGTGAGAGAGATGCTCATATTCCGGGAGATCGCTTGGGTACGTTCGAAGCTGTAGTTTCCATAGTTGTAGATGGTTTGGAGGAGCTGATTTCCGGTGATCTCAGTGATGAGTTTCGAAAAGGCTTTCGGGGTCCCGGTCAGATTTCCCTTGAACTGTGAGGACAGATATCGAGAGACTCCGAGCTTCAAATTTCCGTCCAATGCATAGAGGCAACCACGCTCTATGATATTGTTCTCGAATGCCCACGTGTCGGGTTCACTTGGTTTGCCAGTCAAGTTGTATGGGAGCCATCGCTGTGTCGGATTGATGCTGTAGTCCATTCGCTGAATGAAGTCCCGCTCGTCGTCATCTAGACATTTCGTATCGATGGCAGAGAGAATGTTTGCAGGGTACACGCCAGGCCGGTCGCCAGCATCTCCGAAGGCTTCTGTCTCTTCGAGAATGTCTTCCTGGAGTACACCGCTGTCGACGCTGGCATTGTAGGTTCTGACGCAGGGATAGAGTTCGCAATTTGCTGCACCGTAGCCGTGACAACGCCATGTATTGTTTGTGGAGGCGTCGCTGCAATTTGATGTGTCCTATGTGTATACGTCTCCGAGCATTCCGACTAGAACATCGAGAGACCCGTATTGTGTTTCTTCGTCGTAAGGTCTTTCTCCCATAGTGGCAAGCTCCACATTCTGGAGAGTGAAGTTCACAGTGAGCCCAGTAGAAAGTGATGTCGTGGCGTTCCCGATGCCGCCTGGAACCCCCTTCGATTCAACAGAGACTCGGGAAGAGATATCCTTGCATCTAGCACAGAACCCGATGGATGAGTATGTTGACTTCGAAGTGCAGTTTCCGGTCTCGCATTTTACGTCAACGTGATTGGGGCTGTACATTCCAGTATTAATCGAGACTTGCTGTGCCAGGTCGAGCTGGAAGCTGTCGTAACGATAGGCACCAGACAAAAAGAAAGAGTTCCGCGGGATTGTGTATTGCGGAGTGGATGAATCGGCCAGCACACTGCAGGAAACGTATTGAAGGGCCTGTTGTGTGAAAGGTCCAACCAAGAGAGTAACTGGTATGAGTAAACATCCAAGCCATTGCCAGGTGCTCGGCAGAAAGCGAAGTCTCCAGAGCAGCGTTACAGCACCAATAGGACCTTGCGCAGCTTCGTCATGCAAGGATAGATCGTGCAGTGGTCTCTCGTGTTTCCCGAACCAGCGCCATTTCAAATGCGAGAGACCTTCCGCAAGCAAGAATGTTGCTGTACCTCTGAGTACGACAGAATATACGGACAGAAGGGCGCCGATGGTGATGTTGTACGGCCAATGAGGCAGCGGATGGCCTTGGTAGGGAGCCAATGTGATGAACGATGCTGCAGTCGCCATGATTAGAAACAGAGCGGCTAAAGACGCTCTCCACCAAACAGAAAGCCAAAGAGCCTTGCGATTCCAGGTCTGGCTGGAAGTGGACGACTTCGCCATCAGCGTGGTCTTGGAGCTGTCTTCTCTATCCGTAGCGTCGTCCGCCTCAAAATGGGGCCCAATTTGGTCCTCGCCTTGCGCGGAGCGTGCGTCTGTCGCTGCATTCGCGGTAACATGTTCGTTTGCAGCTGCACTTGTTTCCTGCTGAAGCTGGTCTGGAACTGAGTGAGTATCGTCCGCGGCGTTGTCTAATTGTATGCTGGACCTGGGTTGCTCTTCCTCAAGCGGAAGGCTCTCGTCTGTCGCTGCAGTGTCTGTGAAACGTCCATGCTCAAGTGTGCTTCTTTCCTGCCCAGCGTGGCCTGGAACTCTGTGGTAGTCGTGCGTTTCCATTAGCGAAATACTCATGGTCGGGATCGAACACAAGCGGTAGAGAATCAAGGTGCGCATGCAAGGGTATATATCCTTTCAGGCGCCATATTGATCGCGACCTGGTACGCATGGTAGTCCAAATGGAGTAGCCCGCAGAAGGGCGAGGTAGCTCATTGGTTGTGGTCTTGTCAAGACTTCCAGAAGCCTTCCATGGTAGGAAGGCATCAGCCTCGTTCAGCTTTCACAAAAGTCGGAAGGAAGGATTCGGTGAAGCTCGGGGAACAGCTTCCAGCTTGAAATGCCCAGAATTGGAACCAATGACAGCTCCATGCATGCACAGCCTCGCAACAGGTCGCACCTGGCTCTCACTCGGGACTTCATCTGTGGCTATGTTATGCGGACAGCCACAAATTGAAGCTGCGCAGGAGCGCCATTTCCGGGACTGCAAGGTTCTTGTTAGTATGTACTCTGTGAAAGCAGTTGCAAAAAAGAACTTATTCGCCTGCATAGTCTCTACGCTGCATATATGCTAGATCGCAAGACCGGGGTGCCGTCCGTGGCTCTGTGTAGATGTTTCTCCTGCGCGGTATGTAGTAATGTCCTACACGTGCAGTAAGTTAACGCCGTCGTTCATTCTCAGCCCACCCGCTCTCGAAACGTGCGCAGGACTGACTAGAGATACAGGCATAGGTCGTGGTCGTGAAATGAATTGCTTGCGACCCACAACTTTCCCATCCAATCCACCTTCTATTCTACCTCGCCAAAAACCCTCCATCAACATTCATATTCACCCCACTCATCCACTGCGCATCATCACTCGCCAAAAACAAATACGCCTTCGCAATATCCTCCGGCCTGCCCAACCCCCTAAAAGGATGCAGCGGCTCAATATCCTTCAAAACCTCCGGCGCCGCAAACAACGGATCCGTCATATGACTATGCACATACCCCGGATTAACCGCATTAACATGAATTCTATACGGCGCACAATCCAACGCCGCAGCGCGTGTAAGATTCGCTACGGCGCCTTTGGTGGTGCAATAGACAGAAGCGTGAGCGCTACCGACGAGACCGTAGACAGAAGCGGCGTTGAGGATCCAGCCGCGGTCACCGGAAGGTTGGAGGGGTTCTTGGGTGATCATTTGTTTGGAGGCGTATTTGATTCCGTAGTAGACGCCGTTGATGTTGACGGGGATCATTTTGTCGAGGACGTCGAGGGGCATGTCCCAGATGGGTTGGGGGTTGCGGGATTCGAGGGCGAAGCCGGCGTTGTTCTGCAGCGATATGTTAGCTTTTCCTTCTTTGCTTGGGGTAGTCTGACTGAAGGTCTTGCTTACGATCATGATATCTAATCTTCCATACTCTTTGACTGCAGCTGCTACCAAAGCTTCCACTTCTTCTGGCTTCGATACGTCGGTTTTGACAAAAATGGCACTCCCACCGTCCTGCGTGATACGCTCATGTGTAGGACCATCTGACTCTCCGTTCTGTGCGGCATCTTCACGCCATGTACCAGGTTGCAGATCTGCGCAGACAACCTTGGCTCCTTCTTTGACGAAGAGAAATGCTGTTTGCCGACCTATGCCAGACGAGGAACCTGTGATGATGGCAATTCGATCTTGTAATCGTCCTGGCATTTTGCCGCCGCTTTTGAGTTTCGACGTGGGTTCGTTCCAACTCGGTGAATCTTGCAATCAAGTCTTGCGTGTGTGGCGGCTGGGAAGAAGCAATCGAACTGCTGCAAGATGGCTTTGCCTGGGTGAGGTAATGGAGGAGGAAGAGAAAGAAGAGGTGAGGTCTACGAATGAGGAACAACTAAGAAATATAGCTTACCACGGATCCTCTTCCGAGGCATTCTGTCCAGCTATGCTTGAACTGCTGCTCCAATTGACATTGCATCCTGACAGCCGCATGTAGAGTCGTTAGATCGCCCGCCGATCCACAATGCGGCAGAGTGCAAGATGGCGTAGTTCTGCCCTGGCATAGTGGGAATTGTGGGAATAACGGCAATGTTCTCGCAAGCTCGCGCGGGACGCGGGGTTCTGGATGATGGGGCTGGCTTGGTACTGCACAGCTCCGACAAGCTGCTGCGAAGTGCACCTCATGCGACGCCACATCGTACAGCGCGGGACGCGTGGGATCTGCACATGTTGCTGTGAACCAAGAGCCAAGACGCCGCATTTGCACGTGCGCTAGGAACGGCGGAGGTCTTTCTCGGAGCCGCAGATTCGTGGCCGAAATGTTCATGACCGTGTTCGTCTCGCGCTTGCCATGGCTATCGTTCGCCGTAGTCCAGGCTGATAGCTGGTAGCAAACTCGTAAAGCTCCAGCAATTCGTGTGAACATCGTCGCATCGAGCAAACCGAGTCCAACATTCTCGGTACAGTACTGGGTATCGATCGAGTGTAGTATTGTCATGTATATCCAATGTGTCGTCTATCGTCTCATGCTTCCAACCATTACCCTCGTGCCGGCGGTCGTGTATCATTGCTTCGTCTCTTTCACCTGTACATTCGGCGTCTTCTTCTCGATCACTTCTTGAAGCTCCTCTTTCTTGGCCTGGAGATCACCTTCAGGTTTGCTCTCCTTGATAGCTTGCTCGACCTGCTCGACGGCGCGTTCTATCTCGATCTCCATTTCCGGGAGCTTGAAACCTTCTGCCAGCAACTTGCCATTCCACTTTTGCAGAAGCATGGCATCTTCTGTCCCGTTCTGTGTCTGCGCCTCGACTACTTTTGCGATCTTCTTGATCTCTTCCGTGTTGGGCTGCGGCGCGCCACGCGTTGCCTCTCGGCTCGGGGATATCAGACCAGCAGCGTACAGCTGATCCATTTGCGCAGAGGGAGCGATTTTGATGTGGTTGTGTGTGACGAGGTGCTCGAGCAACCGGCCGCCATAGAGAGCTTTGTAATGTGACCAGGCTCTCCAGACCAGGTAGAAGAAGGGAAGATTAGGAATCCTGTCGCACGTCAGCATTGCTATCGCCGCGCAGCTAGCTCTTCAGCCACGGTGCTACATGTGTCTTACACGGGGACCAGCGCAAAGGGCGCCACGACTGGCATCAAAGCTATTGACTGCCATATCCTCTTTCTGTGAAGGACCTGTCGTTCCGTTGCCAGTCTCTTCAGAATCTCGGGCACTTTGCTGCCGTTCAGGAAGGCACCGGGGTATAGACATTCAACTTGCAGATTTCCTTGGTCGATATCTGCAATGCGCTGCTTGGTTGCAGGCGGGATCGTTTTGAGACCCCATTCTTCAAATGGTATGCGCCTAAACAGCTTGTTGGCGTAGACGGTGGTCTGCTTTTGCCAGCCCTTTTCAGCTTTCTCCCAGTTTGCCCATGTCGTCGCTGCCTTGGTGATGATGCGCTCCTGCAACGGCGGTTTTGTTCCGGCTCCCGTTGCAGCTTCCTGGACGCGTTCGCAATAGATGAGGGTCCGTCTAGTGGATACGGGCAGCAAGAAGAGGCGCATGTCGCATGTCGCAGCTACCCAAGCGAACGGAACAACGAAGGAAGGTGCAGTCAACGACTTCCTGTACGACCTCAGCGCCACATGATGGGAGTGCTGGTGGAAGGCGAGCACAGCCACGTGAAGCAAGGAAAGGCTCACGATATTCTAGCTCGTCGGCGATGCGGTCATGCCGCCACCGAACAAGCAACGCGCGCTCGCCAGGCACCAAAGTCTTTTCTCGGCTCAGCCTCACAGCACTCTAGACTGCTCCATCACCCTCGATGTATGCCATGTTTTGACAATGGCGTTTGCGGTGCCAACGATACCCGACAGCCAGCAGTGCTCCCACGGTGACGGTTCTCGCGGAAGCTGGTCGCGCATCCAGCTCAAATCGTCGACCAGCGGACTCCGCAGCGGAAAGATTGTGCCAGGAGTGGATCTGTTCTATCTGGATGATTCCCGGCCTTCATCATTTCGAGGACAAGATACGACTGGCCACGGTCCTTTTCTGATGCGCTCGCCGAAGCTTCTGTCGTACACTGCCTCCGCTTGGCATCGCAGTCAGTCACCTCGCGAGCTGAACGCTGCCAGCCCTGCCACGCCACATCGCCGCAAGCTGTGACTGCCACGCGACGGCCGTCATTTGCACAACCGAGACAACCATGAGCCTCACTGCAAGAAGGCACTGGCCGGCACCCAATACGAGACATGCCCCGCCGAATCTGTATCGCTATCCACTGTTTTGCTAGCCTCTTCCGTCCTCGCATGGCCTTTGTGCAACCAAACACGCTGGGAATAGCAAAGCTTGACCGCATACCCTTGCTCCATCTGCAGGAACACGCACCCAGCACGTAGGAGTGGATCACATCTCGCCTGTCTTCACGCCACTCGCGAGCGACGGCGTGTAAGAACCAAAGGCTTATTCACCAATGCTGAACCACGATTCGGCCATGCACCTGTTGCATATTCAATAGCTTGGCCGAGCCTGTTCCTAGTGAACTCCATATACATTGCGCGCCAATGTTCGGTAAGTCCAACCACTCCTTTGCCGCTCCTGTTTGACCCTACAACTGTTGACGCACGTCGTGTGCCTTGCAACCTCTCTCTCTCTCTCTTCAACAACCACCTTCGTTTTCCTGTTGTTCAACCTCTTCTACTGCCGATCTCTACCTCTAATAATAATGCATCTCTCAACGACGGTGGTTGGACTGGCCACTGCTGCTCTTACTGCAGCCCAGGCCCCCAGCATCAATGACTTCACAGCTGCACAGATCGCCAATGGCGAGGCTTTCAGGAACATATCGACTTATGCGGACGAGACCATGCAATCAAACATTGCCGGCAGAGCCAACGCACAATGCACATATGACAACGCCAGTGTGCGAAGAGAATGGCGCACGCTCCCAGAAGCAACGCGCAAGAGCTTCACAGACGCTGTCACATGCCTCCAAAACCACGCTCCAACACATATGACCAACTTGGAAGGTCCGAACTATCCCGGTGTCAAGTCACGATTCGACGAATATGTCGCTACTCACATCAACTACACTCTGAACATCCACGACACCGCCGATTTCTTTGCTTGGCATCGTGCATTCACCTACTTCCTCGAGCAGGATCTCATCAACCTTTGCGGTTACGAAGGTGTCATGCCATACTGGAATTGGGCCGAAGATGCCGCGGCTCCGCAAAACTCGCCTCTATTCAATGGCGATGCATACAGCATGGGCGGTAACGGAAGATACGTCCCTGGTCGTGCAGACACTTGGCTCGCTCAGCAAGATGTTACCTACCCTCCTGGTACCGGTGGTGGCTGCGTGGAGTCAGGCCCATTCAGCAACTACACAGTCAACCTGGGACCTATTTCTCTGCCAAATGCAGACAATGTCGACTCTTCTTTCCAATACAACCCACGCTGTCTGGAGCGTGACATCAACCCTTGGTTCTCAAACCGCTACAACACTTACGAGAACTTGACCACTCTCATCCTGGAACAGATCTACGTCGAGAACTTCCAGTGTCTATCCCAGGGCATGTGCGGCGACAACGAATTTGGCGTGCACGGAGGCGGCCACTGGCAGATCGGAGGTTCCATGATGGACTTCTACTCTTCCCCAGCCGATCCACTGTTCTTCCTTCACCACGCCCAAGTCGACAAGGTCTGGGCCATCTGGCAAAACCTCGACATCTGGAACCGCCAATTCATCATTCGTGGCACAGGCACTCTTGGCTGCTCCGCACCAGATTGCCCGGAGATGACTCTCGACGACATGCTTCCATTCGGCTTTGTCGCTCCGGACCAGAGATTCCGCGATCTTATGGACACCTTTGCTGGACCGTTCTGCTACCGCTACGAGTAGTCAATTGACCACAGGTGGCGGCAGAATATCATCAGATGTACATACAAAATTCGATCTAGCTCAGCAGCACCCGGCTGCGGCAATCTTGTAGAAGACAGGGAGGAGGGTTCACGTGCTTGGAAAGCAATCAGATGGCAACAAGAATCTCGAACTAGGCTTGTGCGTAGTAGCACAGTGGCATTTATCGCAGAATGGCGTGGGAAAGGGCACCAAAAGACCAGATAGAGTAAATTTAATGCAGTCATGATCAGCATAGTCAGCGCCGAATTGATTCTCTGAAGAATGCTTTCATCGCAATAGACGCGGATGTAGCATACCGCAACTGCCCAAATGCGATACTGCCATGTCGTGTTTCTCGGACCGAGCCGCAACTTCGAGATCTATGACCTCAAGTCAAGTGAAGCAACCACAACCACCAACCTCCAACATCCACTCATCCATACCATGATATCGCAATGACCAAACGCGCCCTCGAGGCGGCATACCAAAGCCTCATAACTAGAAGCAGACTCCGTCCAGACCCTCACCAACAAGCCCTGATCACCCGCCTCGCGAACCTCCAAGATGAACTCCTCGCCACAAATCCCATCCCAAGAACCATTCCTCTCATCAGACAAGACCCCAAACCTCCCTCACGAGGTCTCTACATCTACGGCTCCGTCGGAACAGGCAAAACCCGCCTCGCAGACCTCTTCGCTTCCACCCTCCCAAAAGAAATCTCCTGCCGTCGAACACATTTCCACTCCTTCATGAACGACATCCATCAACGTCTCCACATCGCCCGAAATTCCCCAACATACACCGGCGACCCTCTCATCCCCATCGGAAAAGCCATCTACGCCGAATCTCGCGTTTTATGTTTCGATGAATTCCAATTAACAGATATTGCGGATGCGATGATTATGCGGAGATTATTTGGTGCGATTTGGAAGGCTGGAGGTGTGATGGTTAGTACGAGTAATCGGCATCCGGAGGGTTTGTATGAGAATGGGTTGAATCGGGATGTCGTGGTGCCGTTTATTAGGGAGGTGCAGAGACGGTGTGAGGTTTGGGAGGTGGGTGGGAAAGAGGATTATAGGATGAGTGGAAGTGGGGATGGGAAGGGTGGGATGGTGGGGAGGAGGGAGACGTTTTTTGTTGATGAGAGGGCTTTTGAGAGGAGTTTGAAGGAGGTGACGGAGGGGAAGAGGTTGCAGAGAATACAGATTCCAGTTTACGGGAGTCGGATGTTGGAGGTTGAGGGTGTAGTGGCGAGTACTGAAGAAAGCGACAAGAACGACGACAGTGCGACAATAAGAACAACAGATGCATCAAGAAGATTTGACCTTGTTACGGGATCTTTTCATCAATTTTGCGAACGACCTCTCAGCTCAGCAGACTACCACGCTCTTTGCTCCTCAACAACAACACTCTACCTTTCCGGTCTCCGACAATTCCAATCAAACGAGAAAGACTTTGTCCGGCGCTTCATTACTCTTATCGATCTCGCTTACGAGAAAGGCACGCGAGTGATATGTTACAGCAATGCTCCTCTTGCCGAGGTGTTTGCCAACATCGTGCCTGTTGATAGTAAGCTCAAGAACAAGCTCGCCGAAGGAATGCGAGTCAAAGCTGGAGGCGGAGCTTCGTCAAGTATGATGAGTACGTTCATTGGAGAGACGGAGTGGTCTGCGACAGGTTTGCAAGAAGCTAGTCTTGCCACTGGTGGCGCTGGGGAGACGGATGTTGGATTTGCAATGGGAAGAGCGATCAGTCGGCTGTATGAGATGGGGTCGGAAGCATATGGTGTGAGAGATCAGACTTGTACAGGTTAGAAATTTCAACTGAGACGAAGTGATTTGGGTGATCTAGAAGCAAAGCAGAGCTACACTCCAAGATATAGTTAGATCTCTAGCAGATGACATCTCCCGACGTGGCCAGCCAGCACAGCGTGTCCCATTCACTGAAATATTTCGCCACAGCTTGGCAAGTGAGTTGAAAGCACAAGCCTAGCACGAAGATCGAACTTTTCATTCATCACATATCATGGCATTGCCTCCATCTCTCTCATACTGAGATTTTTATTCTCATTCTCCACTTGAATTCCTTCCCAGATTCTCTCACAAACTCCACCCCACTCTACACCTTCCCTTCCCCGAATCAATTCCCAAAGCCCCAAAAACTTCCTGACTAACATCAATCGCACCTGCATCCTGCGCAGTCATACGATCGACAACAGTCGCATGAGTTTCCGCCCCTGTAGCCAGATTCCAGATTCGAATTTTCTGTCCGCAGAGAGTATTGGCGTTGGGGTTTCCACCGGGAGTGCTCGCGTCGAAAGTGGGAGCGTTGAGTGCTACGGCGGGGAGGATGGGTGGGATGCCGCAAGCGTCTGGAAGGAGGACGAAGGTCAGTGGAGAGATGGATGGACAAGCAAGGTGGTGGGAGGCTTACTTCCAGAGAAATCGCCTTCTTTCCATGTCATGTCGCCTTCGTGAGAAGCGCCTCTCCTGACGAGAGAAGTCGTGTGGAGTGTCGTTGGCGCTGCGGCTGCAACGCCAAGCAAGGCGAAGAGGTGAATGAGGTTCATTATTGCAGAGTTTGAGCGCGGGTTCTGAACGTCGTCGTTGTGCTGCACTTTGATGAAGCTGTCTGTAAGCTGCGAATGGCAAAAAGATTTACTGTAAGTGCTACACTTTGCGTATTTGGTAAGCCCATTGTGTTGACAACTTTTTTGTCTTGCATTGCTTGGGTCGGTGGAGCCTTGTCTTTGATATGGGGTTTTGGCTTCAAGGTACCGTTCGGGAACCTCAACGCTGGGTCTGCACGACCAATAACGCCGACTTAGATTGGCAGTATTGAGGACGGCCCTTTGTGTAGAGGTGGAAGCTTTGGAATCTCCATGGCATGCACCAAGTATTTCTTGTTAACGAAATGTTCCGAATGTCTCGTTGAGGCCTCATACCAAAATCGTGGACCAGTACTCAAGGCTGCATGTCCTCTCTGCTGTGCACGGGACGACACAGACAGCCAGAGAGAAGCCCTTGGCTCACAGTAGTAAATGTCTGCACTGGTGAATATGTGCAAACGTCTGCAATAGTGAATGCATACCATTCACTCGAGCCCAGGTCTTGCCGACGAGCTGACATATTCATTCCTTCCAGTATCCTCAAACCTTCGTTGGTAAGGCACTTCAGTGGCCTCACTGTCCTTAGTGGCCTGACATCCGCTTGTTCCAAAGAATAAATACTACGCTGCCGCCGTGCGAAGCGTTCCCCAAAAGTCACAAGAGTTGCACTGATTTCGAGACACCTCCAACTCTCGCGACTCTCTCTCAAAACCGCAAGCAAGCCAGCCAACGAGCATACACCCACCGTCTTTAACCGTCACTGCTCAATCTCAGAAGCACTGCCGACTCTCAGAAACACGGACAGCAATAAAGCCAAAGAGTATCCCGCTCGCCCACTTTCATCAAACATGCCTGGCTCAGAGAAGATCAAGCGGGTTTTCCAAACCGCCTGCAAGAAGCTCGACAAGGTAGTCGGCAACACACCATCAGTCTCCACTACCTGTCCGACCTGCTACGCTCGCTACTGCTCCCAGAACTCCAAAATCGCTTTGGTGGAGGGCGCGAAGCAGATCTGCGCCGACTGCATCGAGGAGATGGAGTGCCAACTCCACGATGAGCTGAAGCGGTGTTGGAAGGAGAAAGACTGGTCGGAGTACAAGTACTACGCGAAGGTGAAGACGCCCAAGTGTAGGAGGGTTGCTCTTGAGAACTTGTATCGCGAGGTGGAGCAGGACATGTTGGGGCGCTCGGACTAAGCTTGTGGGGTGTGGGATCGATAGGAAAATGAATGGAGAGTCAAGTTAGCGTCTGCACATATAGCAGCATCAGAGTGAAATGCAAGTTTTCGGTCATTGTTAGTGGTCTCTCACTTCCACGTGAACATATTGCCATGAATGAGGAATAGTCCTGGTTCGTTTCTGCGTGCAGAGCATTGTCTGGGGCACTTGTCCGCCACTCATCTCGATCAGTAGAAATGGCAATATTCCAGAGAGCGACGTGCTTTGCGATTTTTGGTGTCGATGTCGCGGGAGGAGGAGCAAAGCGATGAGGGCAGCTGATGCCAGGCGAGGCAGCAATTCTTGGCAGGCCGACCTCGCGTCAGTTTCGCGTCTCCAATGGCAACACAACATCGACTTCCGTTCCGCGACTGTCTCGGCTCGACAGACGGCGGCGAAGACATGGCTGGCGTGCGACGATGCGATGGACGACGACGACTTCTTCAGCGACGATGACCTCGCCGCCATCCCCGCCGACACCCTCCGCAAGCTCGAGGAAGAGGCCGTCCTCAAAAGCACCCAGGCCACTCGAGCTACATCCGTGAACACCGCTCCGCCACCTCTGCGAAAGCAAGCACACACCGCTACGAGCCTCAATCGCCCCGGCAGTGTGAACAGGAACTTGCCATGGCGACCTCCACAGCCCTCGCGGCCCAGTCAGCCGAAAGTCCCCAGCGCCCCGCCAGCCAGCGCTCCACGGCCACCCTCATCGGATTATGGCTACGACGATGAGGATGTCATCGATCTGGATGAACCGTCCATGGTCATCCAGCCAGCATCAAGGCCTGCTCCTGTTCAACCTCAATACCAGCAGCAGCAAAAGTTCAATCAGGGCAGCAGACAACTCGACCCGGAAACAGCAGCAGCCTTTGCCGCTGCAGACCAAGAGTTGAATGCCAGCCAGACTTTTGGCAGATGGCAGCAAGCACAGCCTGTCCAAAATGCACGCGCAGGTCCTGTCATGGACTTGTCAACCATGCAAGCTAGAATCGCAGAGCTCGAGGCTGAACAAGCTAGGCTGAGGCAAGCCGAACACCAGGCGAGGGAAGAGGCACGATTGAAAGCGGGCGAGATCGCAATAGTTCGAAGCAACCAGGAGAAGGCCGCCAAGCAGTACGAGACCCGCCTGGCTGTAATGCAACGACTACATGCGGAAGAGACAGCGAAAGCCAAAGCTGAAATCGAGGCGCAACGGAAGGAGCGGGAGAAGATGCAGACGGACAACCGATTCTTGCAGCATGATCTTGCCCGTGAATCCGAGCGTGCAAAGCGAGGCAATGTCCCTGTCCGATCCAAAGCCACCCAGCAAGGCACGCCTCGAAAGGGCAGAAAAGCCGCTCGGGGTGATGGTTTCGATGATGACGAGGTACGACTGGCCAGTCCGAGCCGAAGCTTTGATCGAAATCGATCCCGAGGAGAGCATACACCCAAGGCTGGTGCGAAGCGTAAGAGACCAACACATGACAGTCCTGTGGCGCTCTCTTTCACTCAACCACCACAAGCGCTGCGCACCGAAAGCACGGAGCAGACGGCGGCATCTTTTGGATTCAATGGTGCAGGACACGTCGTGATCAAGGAAGATACGCGATACGAGTTCATGCAGCTCATCCTGAATCACTGCCCTCACGAAGGGCACGACGCAACGGTCGAGTCTCTAGCTAAGTATAGCTTTCCTTCGAACCCCAGCAAGACACTTTCATCAATTTTCATCCACGACATCTCCTATGCTTCAACATCCGAAGATTGCACTCTGCCACTGATTGCTTGTCGAGCTCTGCTCAAGTTGTGGGCAAGGTGCCTCGAAGACAAGTTCTTCGCTCCTTTCTACCTTCTTTTGGACCTGCTGCGCTTCATATTACGAACAGAGCGAGCGAGCGTGAGAGCTCAACTGCTGGAGGAAGCCATACCACTCTGCAGTCGAACAATAGACTTCATTGCTGTGCCACTTTCACGCGCAGCCAAGAATCCGACGTTCGCTGCAAGCATGGACATGAAAGCGTTTGATGAGTTAGCCGAAGAGCTCGATGTGGAGCGTGTGATGGAATTCCTTCACTCACTTTGCTTTGCAGCAACCTTGGTCGATGGCAAGAGCGAGACATTCTGGAATACCATTGACTTCGCATTCACGCTGCAGATGCTCGGGAAGGCGCAGCCTATCAGCCAGATTGTATCAGTTCTGCAAATGCTTTCAACATCCACAAGAGAGTTGACTTTCGGTGCCATCTCATCAGACACAAGCAAGCAGCGGGACTTTGAGCGAGCCACCGTCGAAAGACTCACGAACCTACTCTTCGAGACCCCGGAGGCGCCCTCGGACGAAGCTCCTTACAGTGTCGAGGAGATCATGGAATTGCGATTGGAGGTTATCAAAGTGTTCCGTGCCCTGTGCTATACCGACCATGGGGGGCTGCTCTTGGTACAACAGCGTAGCGCAGTCGGCAGATTTGTGCGGTTCTTGGATGCACAAATGGCTCGCCTATACAAAGCACGACCTACCATTGGTATGCCGCCAAACCAGGACAATCTTGCAGAGGCTCACGACTTGATCATCGCGTCGATCAACATGGTGGTACGTATTCTTCATCATCTGATCCGTGCCTATGAAGGTACACTGGAGATTGTCCCAAAGCTGCATGCAGTGCATGGCGGGTATCACAAATTTCTGGTCAGTCTCACGAGAGTTGCATTCAGCGAACAGCTTTGTTTCGAGGCAGGCATAGAAGATGAAGTGGCTGAAGCTGCGCACAATATTCTGGACAATGTTCTGGGACCGGAAGATGGTGATGCTATTATGAGGGCCATCGAAACCCCTCGCGGGACGAGAGGCTCGTCGACGGAAAAGGCTACTACGAGCGGAGGGAGAGGCGACAGCCAACGAGACGACGATACGACAATGAGTGAAGTGGGATGAGTCGAGACTGAACTTACCAGTGACGAACACACAAGGTGCCCATGCATGAATGCCACCTCAATGGGCTCTACAGAAGCCGAGCCGCAGACGTCAGTCCCAGCTTCCGAGCTCGGAGCACCTCGCGGGGCTTATTAACTACCGACGCCCCTCATTCGCGTGCTGAGCAGGAGACGCGCCTACAAAAGGTAGACTCCAACTATTGGAGCTGTAGGGTATTTGACTGAGCTCGATTTCCAATTCAGCACCAAACCCCAGCCCTTTCCCATCATGGCAGAACTCCCAACGAGCATTGGCTGGATCGGCCTGGGGCTGATGGGATACCCAATGGCACTCAATCTGGTCAAGAAGATGGACAAGGATACACAATTCTACGTATTCGACGTGGTAAAGGAAAGCGTGGACAAGTTTGTAGCAGAGGACGAAGGGAGGATCCACGCTTGTGGTGATTCGAAAGAAGTGGCAGATAAGTCCGTATGCACATTTCTGATCCCAAAGGAGACACTCTCAACTCTTCGTGTTGCGCATTCACTGATTATTCCATGTACAATTGCAGGATCTAATCCTCTCCATGGTCCCCGAAGGCTCACACGTCAAATCCGTCTATCTCGACTCCTCTTCTGGAGTGATTGCATCTCCCTCCATGCCTAAACTCCTCATCGACTGCTCGACAATCGACACAGCATCCTCCAACCTTGTTCGCTCCACCCTCGCATCCCAGTTCCCTTCCACGACCTTCTACGACAGCCCCGTCTCAGGCGGTGTCAAGGGTGCCGAAGCAGGTACCTTGACCTTCATGCTCGGCTGCTCCAACACCTCTCCAGACCTCCCTCTCCTCCACAAACTTCTTTCCTTCATGGGCAAGGAATCTTCCATTTTCGCTGCCGGAGGCCCTTCACTAGGCCTAACAGCCAAGCTCTGCAACAACTATTGCTCCGGCCTCATCGCCATTGCAGTGAGTGAAGCAATGAATTTGGGAATCAAATCCGGCATGGACCCTCGAGTTCTGGCGAATATCTTTCATACTTCTACTGCGCAGAGTAGTATTTGTGATGATTGGTGTCCGGTTCCGGGGATCTGTCCCGACGCTCCCGCATCCAAGGGATACGAGGGCGGTTTTCGGGTGGAGTTGATGAAGAAGGATTTTGGGTTGGCGGTTGAGGCTGCGAAAGAGAAGGGCGTGGAATTGGCGTTGGGGCAGAAAGGATTGGGAGTTTATGAAGGGGCTTGTGGAGATGAGCAGTGCAAGGGAAAGGATTCGAGGGTGGTGTATAGATATCTTGGCGGAGAAGAGAAGTGGAATTCTGATGGGAGGTTTGAGGAGAAGGTGGAGATGAGGCGGGATGAAACGAGGGCTTTGTTGAAGAGGGCGAGAGACTTGGATGACGAGGGGAGGAAAGATGTTGGGAGAACGGATAAAGCAAGGAACATCATGTAGCAAGCAAGAGCGTTGGCATTTCTGGGCCTTCGAGCTCGTCGAATGATGCACGAGCGCCAGTCTCATTACGTTGGACTCCCACGGCATCATGGAGAAACGCCAGAGTACTTTCTCCTAGTACTCGGAGTTCGGCGATGGAGGGCGTCTCTCATCTCGGTGCCTCAGCGGCTTGCATTCAGTGGAGATGGCGGATCATGAATCTGGTATGCTTCTTTCTCGCTCGCACCGAAAGCCCTATCACTAAGGAACATCACTCCGACAATACAATCTATATCGAGAAAAGATAAGAGAGTGGAAGTTGGTTTTCAAAACAAGCTGATTCCAAGTCTATCTCCATCCATTTTCCCAGAAGCTCCGACCAACCCCATTACCATTAGACGCCACATGTATTAGTAAGTTGCCGGAAAAACAAACCAAAAGTGCACAAAACAGAACCAAAAGTCAGGACGATTTAGGCCTCCCCAGTGAGATCGATGATCTCCACCTCCATCTCCTCGTCCCCAGTGAGGTCGACGGTCTGCCTGGTAGTAAAGCACCGCTTGAAAGACGGAGCATCCCAGTACGTATCCTCCACCCACTGCACTCCTCCACTACTCTCCCTCTTCCGCTTCCTATCAGCCAGGGCGGGAGAGGGAAGTCGAACATCTTCTTCTCCCTCTCCCTCCATCCCCATCTCCACCACACTCTCCTTCCCCTTCTTCACCTCCGATGCCTCAGACCCCTCCTGCGAAGCAGAGCCATCGACATACCACTGCGTGGCCTCATCCCACTGTGTGTCCTTAACCCATACCGGCGACGCGGGAACTTCCACCTCAGCCTCAACTCTATGAGGCCGCAACCTCTTCACCTCCGGCATCTCCCTACTTGGCACCTTGGAAACCACCCTCGCATGCTGAGGGATCATGTGCGAAGCACCGAACTGGTCGTGAAGGACCTTCCAGTGAGCGTAGTCAAAGTCCGGAGCTTGGTAAGGTCTCTGCTCCGAGATGCGGTGCGCAGGGGCGACTTGTGGAGCCTGGGTGGCTTGGTGGGTGGTGTGGTAGTTGGAGTTGGCCATGTTGAGTATAGTATCTTGTGTCTGCTTCGTGTGAAGTGCTTCGAAATTTTTGGATCTGTCGTGAGTCGGGACGCCTTCGAAGTACTTCTTCTTTTTGAGAGCGATCAGAGGGAAGGAAGCGTGTAATACATATACTCACAAAGCACACATCTGCACGGCTGTCCTCAAAATTTGGCGTCTGGTGCGAACAGTGGTAGCAACGAACTTTGTCAAATTCTTCATACTCACTCAGCTATACCGTCCTCTCCTACCACGAGCAGCGCGAGGCCGCCCTCCATTATTTCCACGCTGAACCACGGGACTGCTCCCAGCCATCATCGAGCCGTCCAACACCGAACTTGACAAATTCAGCGACCCAGGACTTCTCGGTAATGAATCAGCTGCAGACACCTGTGCTCTCATCCTCTCCTGCAAACCCAACATAGGGGGCTCCACGATCGATCGCTCCGCAGTCGCCGGCGTTCTTGACGTCCTCGCTGAAGATGGTGGTGGCCTTCCCACAAACGAAGACCTCAACTCCGAATCAGAATCACTCTCTTCGAGCTCAGTATCCGTATGTTGATAGCTCCCAGCTTCAGGCACAGAATCATCCAAATCACGTTCCATCTCCATTCCCAAATCCTCTTCATCCTGCGCAGCGCCTGTCAACTCCGCCTCTTCCAGATTCGTATACTGCTGTTCATCATATTCATTCTGAGCAACCTGACTCCCCTCCATCATACTGTCCTCATTGAATGTGACATCTGCTGTCGAAGCGTCCGCCTCAGCCTCGGGAATATCATCATCCAGATCTCGTTCCTCCTCCACCTCCCCAGCTTCTTCCGCCGCTTCATGCTCACGCGCTTCGGCTTCGAGCTCCGCTTGCTGCTGCTGAGCCTGCATATCCATCATCCCTCGTTCCTGCCGTTCTAGTTCATCTTGCTCGAGTCGTTCCGCGAGTTCCTCGTTCATAGCTTGTAAGGTCTTCGCAACGCCCGGTGGACGAATCCATTGGGAACCGAACATGCGAACAGCGTGTTTACGCGTCTCGATGGCTTTCTCGTCGGCTGCGAGGAGAGCAAGAGGACTCCGTGCGTGGTGCAATTTGCGTTCTTCATCGCGTCGTTGGCGTTCGCGGTGTGTTTGTTGTGGGTTATGGCCGGCCTGCGGAGGTGGTGATTCGGCGCGAGGGCGGTACGTAGCGCGCAAGAAGGATGAGTGGTCCTCTTGTGGAGGAATGAGTGGTAGTGAGAGCATTTTGTTGTTGTGTCGCTATGACGGAAAGGAAAGCGAAGTGGTTGTTGACTTCGTGCTTGTGAAGGAAATGGGCAAGTCGCGTGTGTTCGCGCCTACCTTCTCATGAGCTCGCGGCAGCAAAGTACAGTAGCACTGTGCTGAGTCTTGCAGTCTTATTGTCGTGCGAAGCTCAATGTCTAGCGATGTCACTTGGTCGTTGCTGTGTTAAGTTACGAGTATATCAAGGAGGGGCATCGGCTGGTCGTTATTTTGTGCGCGTCCGATGGGTCGTCACCATCAGCTAAGGTGCAGGTTCATTCACTTCCACTTGATATTCATTAAGACCTCACTTCAGCACGAGAATCGTACTCGAAGTCATAAATCACTACAGCAGCACACACGCCTCATATACCTACGTTCGCTGGAAATCCGTACGCGTCCAGATCTGGGCGCAACACCACCAACTTATCACTGCAATAGCCATTTTTTCAGAGTCTACAATCTATAAACATCATCTAGCCTCCTCACCCATTCAGAAGTCTGCAAAGCGGAGAGAAGAACACAAATGAAAAGTCAGAATGCTTTCCCATTTTCTTCATGCCATGTCCATCAACAACGACATCTTTCATCATCCATCATAGCTGTGCGAGTAATCATTACCAAGCATTCGCCGTCCACCATCGCCTCTCTTGCTCCATCCTTGTAAGACAACGCCGAAGAGAGCCACATCTATGCATGTATCGAATCATTCATTGTTTCGTTCGCCATAAAGAAGAAGGGGCGCCTGGTATCGCGTCGGTCCCAACATCGCGTAATCTATGCCTCCTCGACATCAGCAGGCTTCTCGCCATCGGCGGCATCAGCGTCCTTCATCTCCTCATCAGGCTTTGCCTCTGCAGCCTTCTTGGCCTCTTCCTCCGCCTTCTTCTTCTCGGCTTCGGCGGCACGCTTGGCTTCCTCCTCAGCTCGTCGCTTGGCGGCGGCCTCCTCTTCAATCTTCCTCCGTGCCTCTTCCTCTTCTTGGCGCTTCTCATTGAAGCGGGAGATGACCACTGCAGCGGTAGCGCGGAGCTCCTCGTACTTGGCGATGTACTGGGCCTTGGTGGCATCCTCGCCATCCTCGTACAGCCAGTCCTGCAGTCATGTTAGCAATTGTCTATGTACCCTCGTGGCCGTCTATCTTACCTCGAGCTCATCGCACTTGGCGCGGATCTTGTCCTTCTCCTCGTCGCTGGCAAAATCTGAGTAGCCGTTGCTGGTGTATGGCTCGTCAATCTTGCCACGCATCGAGTAGATTTGTGATTCGAGTTCGTTCTTGCGGTCTTCGGTCTCGGCAACAAGCTTGTCCTCAGCAATCATCTGGCCTTCCTTCTCGAGGAAGAGGTCCTTTTGCTGCTGGTCGAGGGATGCTGTGCCGGCAGAGAGCGGTAGGTCACCCTTGCGCACTTGCTTCTTGACTTTGCGGGTCTTGACAGGTGGGGTGGCCTCGCCGTTCGCTTTGTCGGTGTCCATTGCCTGTCGATTCGTCAGCAATGGTTCGGTTTTCTGGCGTTTCGCCGCGCGCTCGTCTGCATGAAGTCGCAATTTCTCGAGATCGGCAGTAGTGGCCATCATCGCCGCTTCCTCCTCTTCTGTAGAAACAAACGCAGAACGCAAAACTCGAACTTTACTCACATCGCCATCCTTGGCCTCTGGGATAGGCTCCTCGATCTCCTGCTCCTCCACATAGTAGCCTTGCTCCACGTTCAAGACACCGTGCAAGTTCAGGCGTGCCTTGAGCTTGCAGATCATAAAGTCGTCCTTGCCGTCCGCCTTGACACCCTTCACGCTGAAACGGCCAATCCATGGGTTTGGCTTGCCAGGAAGCGCATCTGGCTTGGCGTACTTGGCCTCGAGGTCGAAAGGCTGTTTCCGGTAGAAAGTGAGGATCTTCGTCGATGGCAAAGCGTTACCCTTGTTGAAGACGGTGAGGTTGGTGTCCTCGTCTGGAATATCGGGCGACTTCTCCCAAGTGAACTCGATTGGGTATTGCACGATGTCCTGGACGCTGAAGTCACGGACGCGGAACACTGGGGAGAGGATGGCACAGCTGAAGGCACATCCTCGTGCAATGGCCTCGTCTGCATTCATGGTGAAGTTCAGGTTCTTGCCGAAGAAGTTCTGAATGATCGATTTGAGGGCAGGCACACGCGTGCAGCCACCGACGAGCTCGATGTAGTCGATGTCGTCTTTGGTGAGCTTGGCATCGGCCAAAGCCTGTTCCAGAGGAATATGTGCGCGGTCGAGCAGTGGCTGGACGAGCGTTTCAAGCTCCTCGCGCTTGAGCATGCCACGAACGTCGACATCGTTCATCAGCGACTCGATATTGATTGGTGCCATGGCGTTTGCGGAGAGAACCTTCTTCAGCTTTTCAACTGCTGCAGCCACACGGACGCGTGCCTTAGGGTTTTCGTAGATATCGATCTTGTTCTTTTCCTTGAACTCATTGCGGAAGTGCTCAATGAGAGCCTTGTCGAAGTTACGACCTCCGAAATGCCTGTCGTAGGCAGTCGAGACGACCTTGAGCTCTCCCTTCCTGAATTCGCAGATGGAGCAGGTGTAATTGCTGTGGCCAATATCGACGATCGCAACGCGGCGTGGCTTCTCCTCTGGGCCTGGCAGATCAAGCTTGGTGATGCCGTATCCAAGAGCAGTCGCAGTGGTCTCGTTGATCAGGCGGAGAACCTTGAGGCCTGCAACCTCTGCGGCGTCCAAGATGCCTCTGCGCTGAGCATCGGTGTACCATGCTGGAACAGCAATGACCATATCGTTGACCGGTAACCTCAGCTCTTTCGATGCGGTCTCTCGTGCCTTGGTCAAGAACATGGCGATCAATTGTGTAGCGGTGAACTTTTGCTTCTGACCGAGATATGTGACCTCGGCGCCAACCTGGCCGTCCACATCGACGAGTGGTGCCGACACGAATTCCTGCTCAATCTGCACATCGGGATCGTTGATCGTGCGTCCGGCGAGTCGTGTGAGGGAGCCGACGGTGTTTTTGAGGTTGGAGATTTCCTGTGTCTTTGCGGCCTCGCCGAGGAATCTGGATTTTGAGCCGAAGCTCACGAGTGTGCTGGAAGGCTGTCAGTCTCTGTGTCACGCAGATGGATAAGGGTGTGTACGTACGGAGTCGCTCGGTTGGAGACCTCATTTGTGATGACATCGACGCCCTTGTTCCGCGCAACAGCCTGCGGAAGAATCAGTACGAGTGCGTTGCCGGGGAGGTTGATCGGTGAGACTCACAATTACGCTGTTTTGCGTACCAAAGTCCAATCTGACGCATGTCAGCGCTGTCAGTGTAACAAGTGAAGAGATGGAGCAGTACTCACCCAACGACAGACATGTCGTGTGCGGTGTGGTGTGTGGTAGCTCTCGGTGTGCGAGTGCGTGGTGGGGTTGAGGTGGTGAAAAGCGGGAAGTGGTGTTTGGTGTTGAAAAAAGTTAGGCGTTCACAAGTTGTGTCTAGCTGCGCTGTACCTGCACAAGGGACCCAACACGGAAAATGACAATACGACAAATTTGCGAGGAACGCAGCTGCAGGTGATGATGTCTTTTGGGTGGGCTGTCTGGTCTCTGCAAAAGTGGGTAGGCTGCTAGCGGCCAGGCCAACTCACGTCTCTGCCTCTCCGAGAACTTTCCAGCATCCGCCAGAAACATCGCATCCACATCCCACATTTCCTCGCGCACACCGTGCACAGCGCGGCCCGAGCCACTCCCTCTGTCACGTGTCCGCGGACACGAAAACACTTCAGCTTGCGACATCCATGTCCGTCTTGACACATAACACCCTCTCAGCTCACTTGGCAGGCTCCACGAGAGTGCATAAAAGACACATTGAAATCATGAAATGACATATACCGCAATGCAAATGAGACGCCCTGGCAGGCAGACAGTAATGCCAAGGACGAGACGCCATGCACGAAGAGGACTTCACGCAACAACCATTCTGGACAGCCAAGACATTACACTCGAGATGTGTTCGAAGCGCGCGGTCTTGAAGCGGCCTTCAGCGCATCCCAGACATGAGCCAGTGGGCTTGAAAGCCTTGGGCCATCAACCGTTTGCCATTAACGCAGCTTGTTCGCCCGGTGTAGGAAGTACGAGGGTCGAGGCGAAGCATATCTCCACGGCACGAATAGATGATTGGGGCATCACATTCACGCCAATAAGTTCTTCCGCACGTGTTCAAAGCAAATAAGGGTTTGCGCGCCTCTGCTGCCGCACGATCGCCTGGTGAGCCAGCGCTTAGCAGCATGTCTAAGTGTCACTTTAAGACCAAACGCTGAAGTCATGCAAGTCCAGCTTCAGGCATGTCGCACCAGGTAAGACGTGGTATCAAGCACTTCCGTGTTGCTGTCCGGCTCATCCTGCGTGTCTTGGAAATGCACGGAGCTCCACAGCGCGTCACTGACGCTGTGAGTATCTCGCAACGTGATAAAATCTCTTGCATTGCCCTTCCAGATTATTCCGAATCCAGAGCACGATCAAGACCTTCGACGAGGAGGCTGGACCCTCTATCAAACTTTTCAGAAATCTCGAACGACACGAAGGCAGGACCTTCAGCACTGATCGCGAACGTCTAAGATTCTCTCAAACAGTCAGTCCAGAACTGTCTAGAAGCGCTGTGCGTGCGATCGAACCCAGGAGCAGCATCCCCACCGACTCTGCCTCGAACGCTAAAGACTTCCAATACCATGTGGCCCTTCAAGATCGTGCCCTACCTCCAGACTGTTGCCAGCTTCTTTGCCCTCAACGAGACTGTTTCCAACGCGTACGTTGTATGTCGGACTTACTGCAATGGGCGAACCGCCGCTTGTTATGCTCATGCCATCATCATACCTCCCCCTCACAGGATACTCACGACTCTCGAGAATTGCATAGCGATTCAAGACAACTGCAAGATCAACTGCGACCTGTTGACACCGTGGCCCATGGCGCATGAGAGATTTGAAGGTAGCATAACACTTTGCGATGATCTGAACACGACTTCAATACCTTTGATCTAGGCACGACTGAAATTTCGATGCATGCCCACAACCAGAAATCAAGCCTCAGGCGCCAATACAATGCACCAGTCTCAAGAATCTCTGCTTTCCTCTTATTCTATACATATCCAGGTAGCCCGGAAAGCTTGTAGCCAGTCACTTTGTCGTCTAGACCTGTCTTGATCCTTGAGACGAGCACTTCACTCGCGTTTCGAACTTGCTTTCATGCATGTCTTGCAGCGTTTGCGACCGTTTGCACACCGTCATTGCCTCTTTCAGACCGCAGCAGGCTATTAAAGCCCCTCACATCCTTCTTCAGCTATCTTCACAACACCAACAAATCATCAACATCTTTGGCGACAAACCCGATCCACCCAAGACCAAGCACTGCGAACCTCCATTCGGGGACAACGAAAAAGTAAGCGCGCAGCTTCTGAGAAACCTTCTGAAGCAGAGACTGATTTTGACGGCGCAGAAACTGTTTGTTCACCAGCCAAGCGACCGGCAACCCTCAACTTCCACCATGCGCATCTCCAACCTCAAGACCTGCCTTGAGGCTGCTACTCTTCTCATCACCACAGCTCATGCCGGCCCAGCAGCCTATGGAATCTGCCAAGCTGGCTGCGCTGCGGTCGTCGTAGCCTGTTACTCCGCTGCAGGCGCTGTCTTCGGAGTGGCTGCTCCTCCAGCCGCTGTACCCGCTGTTCTGGCTTGCAACTCCGCTTTTGGTACTTGCCAGGCCGCTTGTTGGGCCGCGCTCATGGCTCCGACTCCATGATATGAGCATACAAATTCCACACTACATCGAGGGTGCTTAGGAGACGTCCCCGCTCCGTAGCTTGTCGTCGGGTCGCGGTAAACTCAAATCTGTTGCGATGTGGCGCGTCGCTCGGAGTCAGGCTGTAGCGTGGTCTGCGACCACGGCGATCTGCTTGGAAAGCCACCCGCGACAACAGAAGGCTTTGGGGAAAGTGTTCAATTCTCATCATGCTCCAGATGCAATTCAGAGACTCCTTAGCCACTAAGCTGGGTTGTAGTCGACGTCTGAGTTCACACGAAGCGATTCTGTCTTGAAGATTTCTGACCTTCAATTTGCTTCCCAACTTTTTTCTTTTCAATCTCTTCTTGCAGCACATCCTTTTTCGTACTCTCACAGACTCTTCGCGCCACTAGTATGCCCCTCGATCTCTGCTATCTCCAGCCGTGTTCACCCACTGACCAGCTGCCCTTCCGATGGAACTTACGAGCATGGACCATCAATCGTACACTTGTTACCATTCCTTTTACATGGGGCATTCTACTCCGCCCAATAGCTATTAGCACAAGTTTGACGAAGACAAGAGAATTGCATCGAAACATCATCCCCTTGGAGAACTTACCGCTGGACATCCGTTTCCTATAACTCCTATGTCGACTGCTGCAGAACAGCCTTGTAGGTCGAATGAGCATGTCTGCGCATACTCAATCAGTCAGGGAGTTGCAATGGATTGGAACTTCCTTGAGGAGTATCATACCCCTTCTGTACCGGCGTATGGCCCTCCGTATCCTGGCGCGTAGATATTCTCTGCGAGAAGGAGAGTCAGGACAAGGGCGAGCACTGTTTTGAACATGGTGACGGTAGCCCTTTTCGTTGTGGAAAAGTATGCACAGTTGTAGTTAAAGGATGCAAAGAGGAGGAAATTGGCCGAGGATGCAAAGACTTCGAAGAAGAGAAAGTCGGCCGGCGATGAATTTGCAGACTTGCACACGACAAATCAATGTCTTACCTGAGTCTTCGCATATACCACGGGCTCATGAAATCATGCAAGATACCCAAGTCCTGAGGCTACTAAGAAGCGGCACTGTCGGTATCTCGATGGCAGTAGTCGTGAACAATTTTCCGAGCTCAGGCAAGACGGCCTCGCTTGAAGCGTCTGAATGACAAACCGTCCCGGACCATTCCTTACTTCCAGCTCTCCTTTCAGCCTTGCTCTTTCTCATACTCACGGAGAATGTCCACGACCTGCTGATGCCCTTTGACCTCTGCTATCTCTAGAGGGGTTGTGATTCGATCACCCTCTATCAAACCCTTCACGTTCGTGTCCGCCTTTCCCGTGCGCAGGATGGCCTTGACGATTTCGTCTTGGCCTCTGCTCGCCGCTTGCCAAAGACCTGTGCTGCGAGTCGATCCTGGCAGAGTAGCATTGACATCAACAAGGTCGTTCTCTAGTAGCAACTCCACCACATCCAGGTGGCCTTCAGCTGCTGCCACCATCAGTGGCGTCAAGTCGAAAATATCTCTAGCATTGAAGTCCACTTTCTCATGCTTCAACAGCTGCCTCACCACTCCCACACTCCCAGAATAAGCTGCACATAAGAGCGGTGTCTGGCGTAAAGCATTTGCAGACCGAGGACTGACCCTCTTATTCCTCAAAAGCATTTGTACCACGCTCACATGGTTGCCGCTTGCTGCCAAGCTTAAGGGAGTTTCGTCGAACATATCACGAGACTCAGGATCAACACCCTCGTGCCTTAGAAGCAGCTGGACTATACCTTCGTGGCCGCAACGTACTGCATTCGCCAATGGGGTCGATCCTATACGGTCCTTAGCCTCGACATCAATCTCCTTGTTTTGAAGAAGCAACCTGACTATGTTCTCATGGCCCTGGGATGCGGCAGCGGCAAATGGTGTGAATCCACCGTCGTTCTTGATGTCGACCTCGATTTTCGTGTTCCCACAGAGTATTGACACGACATTGTATCGGCCTTGTCTTGCTGCAATGCATATAGGCGACGTTCCATCGCGATCTCTTGCATTGACATCGACTCGACGCGTGTTTAGTAACGACTCTACGATGGACACGTGGCCTTGGCAAGCAGCATACCAGAGAGGGGTGCGGCCTATTCGATCCTTTGCATCGATATTGTCGGCTTGCTTTCGTAAAAGTCTCATGAAGCGTTTACGTTTCGACAACTTGCTAGTCAGGTGTTCGATAATACTGGAAATTCCGTGACAGGCTGCATAGTGTTGCACGGCAATCGCTCCCTCAGTGAGAGGGCGACCAGAGTACGTGTCCGGAACTGGCATGCGTCTCATGTAAGCTATCTTGTTGTCGGGCCATTGTGCGAGCTCGAGGATGTACTTGGCGGAGTGGCCTGAAATTTCAGCGTCCGATGCATGGATCCAGCAGTAGGTAACTGCGTATAGAGCGAAGGGATACTTGTTGGAGATGTAAGAATCTGTGGCATACCCGTGGATCACACGATCATCCTGCAAGGCCTCCAACCGCGCCAAGTAATGAAAGCACACACGGGACAAGATCAATTCAGACCTTCCGCGCAACTCCTCAGCTGAATCGACGGACCTTATGTGTTCGAGGAATGAGACACCACGATTTAACATATAATCCTGAACGGACTCGTGGTCAAACTGGACAGTCGTTTCACCATCATGGGTCTCAAGAATCTTGATTAGACCAAAGGACAGACGTCTCAGCCTTTCTCGCATCTTGTCATCGCTATCGCACCAGTGCAAAGAGGAGGCGTAGTCCTTGAAAAGACATACTTCTGTGTTCGCTTCTACAGCCACTGCATGCCGAATCTCTGTAAGTGAAAGCGGCCTTTTTGCGAAGCTCAACCATCGAAACAATCGTGACGCGGCTTCTCTGTCATCTTCCACCAGCTTGCTGATCATCCCATGATAAATGTCGTCGAGATTCCCGGGCGCCTCTGTGATATGGAGTAGTATAGTCGCAGTATCTGCTTTACGTAGCGATAGAACTCGTTCTACAACAACAACTGTCCATTGGAAGACGCCTGAAGATCTGCTAGCGACTTCGTTTTCGATCTCCACAGCATCGACCAACCAGTTCCTTAGCTTTGCACGAAGCAGATGCTTTATGTCTTGCGCATTTTCTTCGACAACGTCAATGCAGTACTGCCAGCCATAGATGACATCTGGCCAGGGCCGGCAAGAAACACAAATTTTCAGACGGTGTTCGGCTCGTGTCTGGAGCGATTTGAGGTAGTCCATAAGCACTATTGCCACGTTCTCGCCGCTCTCGTCCAGTGCATCGATGTACAGCCGAATGGGTTTGGCTTTTGTAACGCGGAGAACACAGTCGGAGAAGAGTGATTGAAGGTCTGGTGTCGTCCAGTCCCATTGGTCGCTTTTGCCAGGTTCACCCTCAGTCCGGTACCGCGCTTCGAAGCGGGTGTCTTTCACAAAAAGAGACATAATCTTCTGATCACATCGGAGAATCTGATGTAGCAGGGAACGGAAAAGCCCAAGAGGAGTCTTCTGTAGCTCGTGGCCTCGGCGGTGAAAGAAGAATGAAAGGACGAGGGTTTCACTTTCGCCGATGTTGTTAGAGTTCTGGAGGTCCGTCTTTCGGAGGTACTCCATAAGCGTAGATTTACCAGTGCCTGGCCTACCCTTGATCCATAAAAGGCCTCCTTGTCTGTTCCAATCCAGGTACTTCGCGTGCTGTAATATCCATTCGCATGTTTGATCAGCAGCCGGGTCGATGTCACCTCGAGTTTCCATGTCCGGGAAGGCCAATGATTGGAGACACAGATCCTCCGTTTTAGTCAGTGGCGCAGCTGACAGACCAGTTAGTACGTGCCACAGATCGCGAGAGCTGATGCGAATTGAGATTGTTGACATGATGCTAGTGCACCCAGACTTGATGTTGCTATTGATCGCAGTGTACAAGGGCCGAGCGCTACGACTGACCGAAATGTTGATGAAAAGTACCGCCAACTCCGCCTCCCTGGAAGTACATGTGCCCAGACCCTTGGTGGATGTTTTGATTTCCCGAGCCATGGTGGGTGTTGTGCGCTCTGGGACTTTCGTCCTGTGCCAAAAGTTGAACGGTCTCCAATAGTGAGTCCAGCCGGTCGTCAATCTCGTAGACCTTCATCTGCTCGAGTAGTTTTAGATTTCCCAAGATTGTGTCGAGCAGCCGCAGGAGTTGGCTCTCCCTGCCCGAAAAGACGGTCTTCGTGCCTCGCCAAATTCTTTTGCTATAGTGTTCGCGGTCTTCAGGGCAGGCCTTCCAAAACAGCGCTTTCAACTCCTCAAGGGAAGTCTTGCACTGCCGTAACGTAGGCTCGACACTCTCTCTGTCTCCGCTGGGTACCTTGTCGTGGTTCTCGCGCGCCAGTTTGAGAAGACTCTCGATTGCTGGAAGTCTCTCGAAAAGCTCTTTCAGCCTGTCAGGTAATCCTTTGGCGTCCCGGGCGGCTTGTCCTATCTCGATTATGGTCCTTGTAATGCCAACGCAGGCATCGATAAGCTGAACAGTAGTGATGACTTCGACGCCCGACATCTTGAGTAATTTGTGCAAGATTTAAGACGCAAGGGACAATTCAGCAACCGAGCGAAGCTGTGCACATATCTGCTTTCTCGCTTCGCTGTGCGGACAGCTTCGCCCCGTAACACAGCAGCATGCCCGAGACTGGTGCAGCGAATCGGTGATGCCGCAGCTGCATGGCGTTGGGGCTGAGACGACACAAGAACACATGCATATGGATCTCGAATCCGGATCCACGGTAGACCAAAGTCACGGTATCCAGGCCTGTGAGAAGCATGCCTTCGACTGCGCCGTCTACCAGAGACAGAGCTGCAGCGTTTGCAAACAGCGCAATATGAAGAGCGTACAAGTGCCATGTCTCGTCCATGTATTAGACCAGGGTGTACTCGAAGTACTTTCAAATGGGAATCGCGCACGCCCGCGTCTTCATGCAGTGCTAGAATGTGTGGTCCGCCCTCGATCATGGCTTTCCGGTCCCGATAGACTGTACACTATCTTGTACTTCTCCATCCTGCAGAGATTGCAGAAGTTCGAGCTCAATGCTGATACAAAGGAGTGTAGAATGGTCTTTGCCAAATGTCTGTTGTTGATGAGTTAGAGACCGTGAGTATCGCTTGAAACGAGGGGGTGGAGTGCCGTTCAAAAGTGGTGGGACAGCTGCAGCGTGCTCGGCTTTTTGGCGATTCGTGAGGGCGAAGGTGCAGCTTCGTTGCAACCTCTCATGCTGTACAACACACATACACCAGTTTGGTGGCGGGCTTGGATGTCGTCAATTTTTCCCATCGCGTTGATGAGGATCTGTTTCACCATGTTCACTATTCAGCCACACGAGACGCTGCTCGCCGCAGTCTACGTCGAAAGGCAGGCCAAGTAGCTGAAAGTCCTTGTCCAACAAATACCTGTTCCGAGGCCATAGAAGTCTCTGACTTACCCAAGGCAACGACAGAGATTAGGACTACTTTGAGTAAAGCCGGCAAAGATATGTTCCTGCGCTGGCGCGAGAAAGCAGCAATGCCCATGTCAAAGTCTCGAAAAGCCCCAGCATCATGTATACACCTACAACGTGCACGACTCGCTAATCTCCTCAGATGTTTCTGCACGCGCAGATATTCATCTCGATCGCACCCGCCCAAATGTATCTCATGCTGTTGGAAGTTCTTCAGCCACAATTCGAGCAAAGTGAAGCGCAGCAGAATGCAATGCCTCACTTGACATTCACCCACAGCAAACCCCACAATGGACTTCCGCGTATTGTTGAAGGTGGCAGCCTAGTCAGGTTGCTCACTCATTGTCGCAACTCAGACTTCGTTTCCGCCTTTTAATCCTTACAACTCCGGAAGTCTCGACCAACATACACCCAAACCAAATACATCATCAACACCACGAAATCTTCCCTTCTGGTGTGCAATACCGCGAAGATGACCGAACGCATCCGTAAGCATCATCAATGAGATCTGCACTCACTCAAGGCTAACATCGCTCTGGTCAGCATCCACTCGGGCCACTCGACCACGCACATCGCTCTCTTACGATGACATCAAACCGTTTGTCTTCGTGATCCTCGCAGCCACCTACCTCGTTGTGTTCATGATGTCCGGCTCGAACTCTTCTCACTCGACAAGCTTCTCCATCACCACCGGCGGCAAACTCCTCACCAACGACAAAGCCTTTGCCAGCGGCAAAGACTGTTTCTGCAGCGGGGAATTTTACCTCTGCAACGCCACCATACCAGAGCTTTCTCCCATCAAGAATCAAAGCTCCAATTCGACGAACCCTTCACAGGGAACGAAGCCGTTCTGGGAAGTGGGCGGCAAGGGAGAACAGTCTCTCGAAGTACTCATTGGGTCGTGCTATTCACTCCGATGCCATGGAGTGGCCAAATCAGACAGTACCGTGTTGAGGAAGCATCAAGAAGATGGCCAGGTGCAACAAGCTGGGTCGAGGGCTAGGTTCCACAACAGACCGGCGAGCACGCTGCTTCACACGCATTAGCTATCTGAGCTCAAGTGCAAGCAGCAAATGACCACCGCGTATTTTCAAAATATTGCCTCCCCGTCCCACACGCACTTGGATTGGAGTAAAACCCGCCTATCGAACATGGTGTTGCCTAGCTTGCCGCTCGGCCCTTGAAAGAGTGTGTTTGCTGAGAGCACATGCAAAATGAATGTTGCCCCCTTCACGTCAGATCTCACCACGTCTCTGCAGCCCACGACATATCCAACGCAATAAGTCTTTGTAGACAGCGTGGGAACCCTCCGAGGTAATGTTTTCGCTCCAGGAAAGCTTGTGGCTGCAGACTATGATATTGCAGCCAGCTTGATGCTGTTTCTTAGATGTGGCGTCCACTTCTGGAACGAATGAAGTGAAGTGAAGTGAAGCGCATATCTGCACTTCCAATGCAGTCTGAGCCGCCTCTCAATAAGTCTACTCACTCTACTCACGTCTGCCTAGAGCAACAGTAACTGCTAACTTTGTGACGCGGCTCAAAGCTCTCCGCCTCTTTGCGTTCCATTTCTTCCAACTTTCGACAACCTCAGCGAACTCGCGAACAACACCACCAACAACAAGCTTTCTTCACACTGAATTGGGACAAGTCGAGAACATTCAAACCTGCTGTAAGCGTCAAAGAGCTGACGTTCAAAAGATCTCGACTGATCACAAACTCGCAGCGAGCAGCCACTTCATCACCGGCCATGCGCTTCCTCAGCTCCAAGACCTACCTCATGGCCCTCGCCGCTACCCTCGCTGCAATTCAAGCCAATGCGACAACTCGCGAGGTCTGCCTCGAAACCTGCGAAGCCTACGGTCGCAGCCCCAATCTCGACAACTTCCTGCAAAGCTCCATCCCAAACATCGCAGTAGAGGAGAGCTTCCAAGCACTCTGGGAGAAACAACTATCCGACCAGCTGATCTGTAACATCAAGTGTTTCGACGCGGACGATGCAGAGTGGGAAGAGGCCGAGAAAGCATGTCAAGATCAACCACGTGCGCTTCGGTGGTTGTTACGGACCGCGGGGTTGGAAACAATCATCCGACAGATAGCAGTGGTCTCATCACGCGCAGCAAGAGCCGTTGCGGCTGGGGAACGCCTGCAGCAGAAGTGGGCCGAGTGGTGGGCTGAGCATGAAAAGAGGGCTGGTAAGATTGCTGAAAGTGCTGGCGAGGATTGGTCGGATTGAGCAGCCAAGAAGGAAAATCGATCTCCATCCGCGACCACTGTCGGTTCTCTTACGAATGCGCTGCTAAGGCTGCTGCCGTTAGAGATGTCAGCACAGCAAAGGAAGACACCGCGCAGAGGGAAGCATGCTTAGGCAGCTGGGGTCGTTCGGATACTCGACAGGCGCTTTCGCGTTCAAATGGGCACGCGCATCGTGGGGCGAGAGATACGAAGCGGCCATAGGCTTTGTTGCTGGCTGCACTTGAGGTAGAAGTCGCACATCAAACATTGGGTGCGAGTGATGGAAATTGACTGCCTGGTGCAGGTAGTCAGCTATGCATCGCATTACGCTTCACCAAAATCATTGCCTTCCTGAGTTCTCTTGCATTGTTTGTTCCAACACATTCGGTGCTTCCTGCATGCGCAAAAATGCGCGACACAGAGTCGGAGAAGTGTCCGCTGACGTTTCGCAAGTCCCAATTTGAAGTCTTCGCGGAGCAAAGACCGCCTCTCCAATGCCCTCGTGCCTTCGAATTACCGACGACTCTCGTGTGCCCAGTGCTACGTTTCCTGTGACGACTCCCATCGATCGCATCCGATCTGCGCTGGGTCGCGTTTGACAGCTCAAGCTTACAGTTCTTCATGATGCCTGTCACTTCGCTTTCATGTCCGCAAGCGGTGCAAGTAGCATCTCCTCTTCATCAATATGAAAGCTCTTGTAACATACCGAATATGTGCCGCTGTCATTGGGCATCAAAGTTCTCTTTTCTGGTAGCAAGTGACGAATCTGGAGATATGTAACTTCTGAAAGTTAAGCATCTGCTTCATCGTCACAGGGATGCTGATCGCCGAACGTTCATCCTTGCGACATCATTGAAGAAGGCCGAGGCACAAGACGGGACAAGCGCATCATCGAATGGCTGCTGGCAAGGGTCGCGGCAGATTCCTTCCAGACGTCAGCGTTCGCAATATTTCTCCCATGGACAATCTTCGACGTCGCACTCATCTGGAAAGAGCAGTCGACATGACCCGGTGACCGGGTAGAACAGAACGTACCTGCATTAGTGTCCTTCGTTGCGCAATACGATCTGCGCGACACAGTGGGGACGTCGTTTGCCAGCCTCATCCGCCATGGCAGGTTTGTGTGTGAGTGTGCTTGGTGGCCCCGCCGAGCTGGTAAGACGTTACACCCGTTGATTTGTCTCGGTGTCACCGAAGTGGATGGCTCTTCGCAGGTAGATCAACTACACCTACTCCAGGCGGAAGTGACGGGTAGCCTTGGCCATGCGTATGCTGTCTTGCGTTTTGAAAATTGTTTCAATGTCATGTTTCCCGCGATATGTGGCGATTGGAGAATGATGGCTATGTTTGAAGCAAGGTATGCGTCGTGTACGGCCCGATCCAGGTGATGCGTCTGCATTTGCACATCTACGACCTGCCAATATATGTCAATGCTTGTAGCGGTCAGTGAGACCTGTAAATGAGGAAGTCAGGTTGAGAAATGTGACAAGCCAGCAGTCAGTCGTGAGGAGATGACGGCAGGACAGAATTTCAGCAACTGATGCCATCGCCGAGGATCTCCACGGCCAACCCACATCGGGCCTGCGCATAGGGCGCATAAGCGTTGTTTGGGTTACTTCTGCAAAGCGCCATACCCGCGAACAGGAAGATCTCTGGCGCTTGTCTAATCTTTGGATGCTGCAAAGATGGGCTTTCCTCTTTGCGCCACGATTGCAGGTGATAGCTGCGTCTGTCAATGCGCCATCCAGGAGCTGGGCGTTTTGGACGCCGAACTCCAATTTGCACCCCGAGGCTTTGCATGGCGCCTGTGTATGACAGGTCGGCGGTTGAGTGCGTGGCTCGCGAAGATTACGCAAAGTCTAGGTGTGGCTGCAGTTCGAGATGCCCGTTTTGAACCGGGTAGCAGGAACGCAGCCGGGTACCGGGCAATCGCAACATGTCAAGCAGCGTGCGCGCGTATGTAGTTCCCACGCAGTGGAAGTGACTGCACTGCATACGCGTGAAGCAGGCCGGCCTGGGAACGGTGGGGCTCTCGCATTCCTTGGCCACGAGCAGCAGGAAACTGTGCGTCACACATCGCGCCAGATGGTGGATGGTCGGCGTGTCCTAGCGCGTCGGCAGCTCCTGGAGACAGTGCTGGCCCATGACTGGCGTGGAGGTGTGGTGAGGAGGATTGTGATGGATCAGATATCAGATCGTGGGCGCGGACGGCATGCGTAGGCGATGACACGACATGGTGGAGGTGGAGCGAAGTCGAGACACGGCGAGGTTAAGCGCACGCTAGGCCCAGCAGACTTTCGATTAGCCGCGAGGTCGCATTGGCTTCGCAACAGCTGACATGCACTTGCGCTGCGCTGAGCCAGTCGGCACTTTGTCCGTGGGAGCGATGCACGACGCAGGCGTGTGCTGCCGACGTCTCTTCATCACACACAGCGCAAACACTCCCCGCCGGCGACTCAACTTGCCTGTGCAGCAGCGCGCGCGTCGGCTCTGCAGCGACAGGCCCTATTTGGCGGCGTCGGTGGCGCCTGCAACGGCTCCTGCAAGGAGCTCCTTGCGGCAGCCCGCCCATGCTCAACCTCTTCTTTCGACATCCTGCCGCGGCGCTGGCCTCGTGGACCGCAGTGGAGATGGGCGCGCAGGACGGCGGACAAGTCGACGCGAGGGCATCACCGCCGCCTGGTCCGCGGCGTTGGGCGGGCAGCAGGCAGGCGGTGGATGCAGCAGAGTCAGTCGTCACAGCTCTGGTGGTCGAGCAGGCTCCCGAGATCCGCTGATGAGTCGCTTCATCTGGGAGCTAAACCTTAACTCTGATCATGGCCGTGTTGCACTCCAGAGCCCGGGAGCTGGGAGCGCCAGCCGATTCGCAAAGTCTTGGATCGACGCTGACTACGCCCTTCTCGAAGAGCTCTGCTCTGGCACTTCACGCCCGCCCGCCCACCACCGCTCAAAGCAGTCTGGCCCTCTGCCCTACCGGCAGGATCTTGCACAAAAGCACTGCAACCCACAGCCGCGGCGACGGGGAGGGATTGAGCCACGTCCGCACTTAGTCTTTTGACCTTTTTTCGATCTGCTTGCTGCTTTTGGCACGCAATGACCACGGTCTTGCAGCGGGCCAGCATAAGGGCCAGCACGTCGCACGAGTGCAGCCCTCCATGGTATCACCAGATCTTGCCTCTTTACCAATTCATCCCTCACTGTCTGTATTCGACATCGCTGGTGTGCGCCAGAGCTGTCACTGGCTTCGCCTGGGGTTTGACCAGTGGGTAGCATAAAGGACGACCAGCGATCTAGCGCAGAGACATCAGAAGCAACCTCGTCAAGTCGTTGCATCGGTCCTTCTCGACACCTGCTATATAGACCCGGCGGTCGCCTCTGCGTTTCAAGTTCTCCATTATCCAACACTCCGGGTCAGCTCAGGAACAGGAGGCCTCACCACTCTGACCATACTAGCCATTGGCCGAAGCTACCTGCATACGACCACCTCAACGAGACTCATCTATCGATCTGCCTACTCAGCATACCGGATACCAGGTTCACCAAAGTCAATTCATCTCAGCATCAGGAGTCGGTGTGCCAGCATTCATTTTCTATAAGACTTCCACACAAACTTCAAAAGTAAGTGCTGGCTTCCCACTGACGAAGAGAGCCATCAACTGACCCGATTCCAGATGGCCAAGCCAGGAAAGTGCGAACACACATTCAAGATGATCAAGTCAGACACCACATTGATACTCTGGAACTGCAACATGTGTCACTCTGGCCCCCACTGGTTCATCTTCGAGTGTGCAAAGTGCAAACTGAAGACTTGCCGGCCTTGCACTACAAAGGCTTCATGATGCGTCTGAACAGCATCAGCAGGTGAGCGAATCACTTCCGAGCCTTCGGGCCCAGTGCTGACTCTTCCAAAGAGCTACATCACACCAATCACACCAGTCATATTCGACTTTCATTTTACGAGGATATTGTTGCAGCGTTATGTTGTTACCCTAGCGTGGAGTCTCGGATGGAAGTCATGGGTCAGGTCAGGTCAGGTCAGGTCAGGTCGGTTGAGGGTTGGGCGTAAAGGTAACAGAATCAGAATGGGACTGGCAAAGGGCGGGACAGTGTTGATTTTTTTTTTTGCAACGCGAGCGAGGGAAAGCAAGAACGGAAGATGACATGTCCGCGAGGACCGACAACAGAGGATCTCGTGAAAGAGGTCGTAATCTAATGATTTGTCTGTATCACAATGCCTATTTGTGTTAGAAGAGCACATCAGAACAGCGATATCAAACACGAAATACGTACTTCTGAGAAGAAGACAGCGTGCTTGCGACAGGGAGACAGGATCACAGCACGCACCTCCATACCCTGCCGACAACCCGAATGATATGTTATTGGGTACCAGGATCAAGCTGACTCATCACACAGTGGAAGACTGCGCTAGCGATGGCTGTGCGTGTCGTCAGCACATTCCAGCATCAATTGACGTTCACCGAATAGGCTGCCTATCCGATTCGTACAAGCCATCCTCCCAACAAGACATACGACCACCGGAAGTCAAGGTACGTAAGCCGGCAGCTGGGCGACAAGTTGGCGAATGAGACAAGAGCTCAGATGTTCTAAAGCATAGGATCAAACACAACATCACTAGAATGGAAGCAGGACTCTCAGGAGAGTAGTTGAAGCAGCAGAAAATCTCAATTGAGCTGGATTCAGCTACATGGAATCACCCGCACTTCTGACAAAGGAAAGGACTGCTCGTGTCGTCTCTTCATCACTTCATCTCCTTCGTGTCCTCGTCATTCACTTCATCATTACCATGCTCATGTGTGAAGTCACATCGTGACCTTACTGTGGGCAGCTCTGCTCAACATCATCAGTACACGAGCAATCGCAATCCCAATCTGCTGGACTGAGAAAACCTACCGCTCCACAAGAAGAGCAAGACTTGCTACCGCCAGTCACGGCAGCGCTGCACTTTGGGCCTGCACAGAAATCAGCTTTGAGCTATTGTGAGCTGGAAGATGGGTATGTCTTACAAGTTGGATGCATTGTGGAGTCTCTGGTCAAATGTGGAGTCTTGGCGGACTGTGATGGATATTCTGCTTCTGATGTTGTTGAGATTGTGGTAAGCTGAAGTTGCAAGAAGAGTATTCGTCGGTCAGCGAGAAGGGAGGTCGTGAGCATGTGCGGGGTGTCAGCTGGCCTGGCCAGGCCCAAAGGCTAGCGTGGGGTGAAGGCGAGGGTGGGATGAGGTCGTTCTTTCTCTCATCAATGTCCCTTCACTTTCACGCAGCCAGACTGACAAAGCATCAACTACGAATCCACTGACGGCTTCCACTCCGGATCCCCAGAATGAATACCACAAACCAGAAATGACCCCTCAAAAATGCCATACTGCCAAGTCTTCGCCCACGACTCCGAACACGGAAACCACGGCGTCCGTTCCCGCCAAGCCTTTCTCACAAATCGCGACTTCTCCAACCTCATTCGCTCCTTCAACATCCCATCCAACCGCACTCCCCAAGCCCCCAGCGCCAGCCAAAATGCTACTAAGATGAGACTCGAATCACTGCCAACCAGTCATCTGCTCAAGCAAACGCGTGACCACTCCCTAAACGAAGTCATTTGATCCGCGGTGCAACTTCACTTCTATGCTTGCCTTCCTGATCCGGTGCTCAAAGCGTTCATCACGGAAAGGCACGCGCGCGAAACGAGGGAAAGCGTTTGCGGCAATGGCTCGCTTCGTGCTGCAAGAGTGCGGGTCACACTTGCGTGGCGACTGCGAGGTAAGTGAGACTGGACTTATTTGGAAGGTGACTTGACGGGGAAGTCGGGCACATGAGTAGGTATGGGGTTCTGCTTCAGAATATCAAGTGCTTGCTGTCCCCTCTCTTCCGAGGCTATGAAGTGTAGAGTCTCTGCCCGCTTTGGGCTTTGCATTCCATCGCGCTCGACGGCAGACAACACGTTTTGTGTTATCAACACTTGTTGAAGATGTTGCTGCGCAGCAGTTTCTTCGTTCTTCTCTTCTCCGCAGTCACCTTCGCTTCTCCAGTCGCCAAGCGCGCAGCTCCGAGTTTCGTTTTTCCTGGCGATGCGCCTTTCTCAGTACCGGTTCAGACTCTTGCGAACGCGTTGACTTGTCCGAATGGCAATCCGACGAAAGACTCGCCGCCTGTGCTGCTCGTACACGGCACAGCGAGTACGGGAGAAGAGACTTGGGGCAGAGGATATGTTCCAGCTCTGAAAGCCAAGAAATATACGGCGTGCTATGTCACACTGCGTGAGCATCAGGATGAAATTCTGTTGGAGACAGGAACTAACGTACCTCAGCAAACCGAAGCATGGGCGACATGCAGATCAGCGCTGAATACGTGGCATACAATTTACACTATCTATCATCTCTGTCCGGAGGACTGAAGCCAGCTGTGATTGCTCACAGCCAAGGCAGTCCAAACACACAATGGGCACTGGCATACTGGCCTAGTACACGAAACATCGCCCGAGCTCTCATTGCACTTTCTCCCGACTTTTCTGGAATCGAGCTTCTCAACAACGACTCACTCTTCGACCACATCTGCGAAAGCGGACTATGTCAAGCCTCTCTCTGGCAACAAGGCGAAGGCAGCAACTACTACAAAGCCCTTCATGCAAAGGACTTCCGAGCTCTGGTTCCAACTTCAACAATCTGGTCGCAATTTGATTCCGTTGTGGCGCCTTTTAAGAAGAATGCTCAACTTCCAGGCGCTACTGTGGTATCAGTCCAAGACCGCTGCCCACTGAGGCCTGTCCTGCACTTCACGATGACAATCGATGCAGCAGCTTTCGCGCTGGCGTTGGACGCGCTTAACAATGGCGGCAATGTCAAGGTGTCGAGAGCGAGCTGGACGACATGTTTTCAAACGACTGCTAAGGGCATGAATGATAATATTGGGAGCACGCTACAGGATTATACTAACAGCTTGATTGATGGACTTTTGTAAGTTGTGCATCTTGAGCATCACATTTAGTTACTGACTCCGAGAGCAGACTTGCCACACCTCAGCTCAGAGCCGAGCCAGCATTACTTCCATACGCGCAAGCCGCATTGTCATAGGCGACAAACTCCACAGAGTGTTGCGAAAGACAACGCGTTTTCAGTCTGTTCTCACTCGCCTTTATCGTACCAAGTCCCACAGTCCTCACCACTGCCCAATACCTGCACTCCACCAAATACTGCTCACTAGACACGTGACCCCGGCGCGAAGACCCGACCAATCAGTGAGGGATCGTTCGCGCCGCTCAGAACATTCTACCTTCGCATCTGCATTGCAGGCCAGGTCACTTCATCGTCGGAACTAATAAGTCCATCACGTCGCGCCAAGGAATGCCTCCGAGAGTGTTTGGCCGCTCCCTCGCCCAACATCTCAACCGTGCTCATCGCTCAGTGACGCTTTCCCCAACTCGCTGGATCGGTGACTTTTTTGGACGATCCAGCTCACCACCTTCTAGAGCTTTTCCCTCCAATGGCTTCAAGCTGCTAGCTGGCGACGAGAAAGTGGAAGAGGAGAATTGGGATTGGTACAGCGCAGAGGCTTATTACCCAGTCCGTATAGGCGAGATTTTCAAGTCACGGTATCAGATTGTTGGAAAACTGGGATATGGAGCTCACTCTACAGTATGGCTCAGTTGAGATCTCCAGTAGGAATTATTCATCTCGATCTTAGTCAAATGGACCACCGCTGACTAGAAGTTGTAGTGCACACCAATACGTTGCTCTCAAAGCCTGCGAGCGAGGAAGCCAGTCTGCCGAACGTGAGCTTGCTGCATATCAGTATCTGGAATCTCTCACTACGGAACATGTGGGCGCATTGGTTATTCGGCAGCTACTTGACAGCTTCACAATCAAAGCAAATGGTACTGAGTACCGATGTATGATCCACGAGCCACTAGGAATGAGTGTCAAAACACTGCAGCAATTGATGCCGGATCAACTGCTGTCCGAGGATGCTCTGAAGGCTGTGCTCAAGTACCTGCTGTTGGCACTTGATTGCTTGCACACTGAAGCCAAAATGATCCATACAGGCAACATGAATCCTCCCATTCACGAGTTGAGTAATACTAACGGGTGACGAATAGATTTACAAGCATCGAACATTCATTTTCGCGTCGACGATAACAGCATCTTTGACGACTTCGCAAAGGCAGAGGTTAAAAATCCAATCCCTCGCAAGGTCGACGGAGATCGAATCGTATACGAATCAAGAGGCCTTCGAATGCCCAAAACGACCGGCCCTCCAATCCTCTGCGATTTTGGCGAAGCTCGCTTTGGGAGCAGCTCTTACACTGATGATATACAGCCATATATCTACAGAGCGCCCGAAGTCATCCTCGACATACCATGGTCGTATGAGGTCGATATCTGGAATGTAGGAGTGATGGTATAGCATAGCACTTCTCCACTATCAATCGAGGTTAGTCGTTAACATATCCCAGATCTGGGACCTCTTCGAAGGCCGTCATCTCTTCAGCGTTCGCGGCCCAAACGGCGATCGATTGAGCAGGTACCACCTCGCGGAAATGGTGGCGATTCTTGGTCTGCCACCTGTAGAGTACTTGCAACGCACCCCAACATCATGGAAATACTTTGATGATGATGGAAATTGGAAGGCTGCGACTGCTATTCCGGAAAACTACTCGTTGGAAACGTTGGAGACACGTTTAAGTGGTGAGAATAAGACGGCTTTCCTGGCTTTTGTGCGTAAAATGTTGCAGTGGTGTCCGGAGAGAAGATATACTGCTAAGCAGCTTCTTGATGATTCCTGGTTAAATTCGTGACGAGGCTTTGTCTCGAATGACTAACGCTGTAGCATAGCTGTAAGACGAGGTTGGCAAAGCTGAAGCAGCATGCAAAGAAAGAAAGGCGAACATGCTCGAATAGAGTCCTCCATTCTACACGCCATTGTCGGATACTCAATGAACTGTATGCATAGTATTGAACCAACTTTCCAGCCATGGCAGAACTGACAGCATCGCGGGTGATACGGGTCTTCCTTTAATAATATAGGGTTCTTCACCAACTTCTCCGCCGTCGTACCCAACATTCTTTCCAGAACAGAAATAACGCACGACACGGCATCCATGCATCTCAATGCCGTGCCGTGTGCTTTCCCCTTCCCCGCTTATAGACTTCTCACCCGCATCGCGAGAAAGTCGTAATCATGTCCCGAAACTCAAAAACTGCCGGCATCGATCGCTCGGCTTACCGACACGTCGGGTTCGCTTTGCCGTGCCGTGTTGTCGTGTCGTGTCGTGTCGTGCCGTGTCGAATCGTGATAGTGGCTTCGATGTCGGGAAGTCAAAAGTGAAATGTGATGGGATGACTGCATTGCATTGTTGAATGGAAGGTCTGCGAAGGGTAAATGCATCTCATCAGAGGTACGTGTCTTTCGGAGCGGTGTGCTGAACAACGATCTCATGCCGAAGGTGCCGGGAGGATTGAAGAGCATGAGGCGGGCCGTGAAGGTATCGCGCTTCGCGCTTAATGTTTTGGCGCGAAGGACAATGTAGACGCTGGCACGATGCTCGGAGATGTGAAGCAGCAGTGGGAAGGAGGGCTGTACAAATGTATTTTTTACAGTTCAGTCAATAACTGTTGCTTCAAACTTTTTGATATCTGCATCCTTGTTCATTTATCATAACATGCCCATTCCGTTCCTTCTACGAGCAAACATTGAACCTCGAAACAGTAGGATCATGATCACTCGCCTGCGCGTCTACTGTGGTCCAAGTGTTAACGTGAATATGCTCAATCTGGCTTCTGGCTCGCGACGCCAGACGAGGAGAAACGAACATGTGATCCAGCGCCTGTGAGTTCATGTCGAAGAGATAGGTATACTTCTCCTCGTCTCGCGTCCCAACGGCATCGTCGAGATCCTCCAGCCCAGAGACAGAGGTGAACGTCCCGAGAGGTTGGACGACCTGGAACTCGTTGTAGTCGCCTGCAGACATGATGTTGGCGTTGCGATTCTGTCTGAGGATTTGGCGGATGAAAGAGCCGAGGACCTGGGCTTGTTGATTACGCTGGTCAATGCCGTTGTTTACTGGCGGGCGGGCATCGCCGTGGAGGGAGGAGCTGCCGCCCTTGGAGGTCCAGTGGTTGTTGAAGGTGAAGAAGGTGCCTCCACGGCCGTAGCCTTGGACTGTCTCCCATTGCGCTGCAATTGGCTTGCGTGAAGCTGTCCACGCCGCATTGGCCGGATCAACAAGACCTGGATTGTAGCGCAGAGAAGGACCTGGAAGGACCTCGTTGGCTTGAGTGCTGGTCCCCGCCGTGCCGTTCACCAGTCGGACGCGGTCCGCCTTGTAGAAGTATGCTGGGCGAATATTGCCACCTGGCTGGCCGCCATCCTGATCGTCAACTGGGTCGATGTCAACAAAGCTGTAGTTTGTGTCAGATGACAGCGAGTTGACAGCATCTCTGAGTGTCGAAAGTGTGATATCAGCAGAGACAACGGCATCATTCACGGGCCCGTTGTCGTCCTGGATCTCTTGCAAGAAGATGATATCTGGAGTCTTCATGTAGTTGACAATGTGGGAGGCGATATCCTGCAGGTTGCCTGAAGCAGGCTGCAGGTTCTCAACATTATATTGACCGACAGTGATGCCGTTGCAGGACCCGCTGGACTCGAGTCTGGTTGGAGGTGGCAGAGCTGGAGTCCTGGAAGAGACGACTTTGATGTTTGTGGTTGGGAGAATCCTGTAGAATCCGAAGCCTTGGGTGATGACACCAGTGATCTCCTCAAGTGAGTCGCCCAAGAGCGTGTTGGTCGGGTTTGCACTGCCATCGAGAGGAGTGCCAATGAGAATTGCCTCCGGATTGGCGTCACGGTCTCTGATGGTGAGGCCACCACGATTGTTGTCACCAGTAGTACGCCACTGACCAACAACCCAGGTGTCGCCGAATCGGTTAGGCCTGTTCACAGCACGCGGCCTGCGTACTGTGACAAGCTCGCCACTCAGGCTCTCCCAGAAGTCGAGGCCAAATCTGCGGACGTCCAGGACTGGATTCGCTACTGAGACCAAGCTCTGGTTGTTTGGCACACCAAATACATCGCCTCTGTCAAGAGAGCTGTATTGCTCGGTCTGACAGTGTGTTAGTCAGGCCAATGGCTTCATGACCAGAGAGAACTTACAGGAGGATTGAGTCCTCGCTGCCCAATGACCAGCGGAACCACGGCGTTCCCAGTCGAGACTGTGACGATATTGCGTGGACGGTCAATCTCTGTCAATGGAATGAATGCTGGGCTCGTGCGGAACTCTGTGACTCGTCCATCGAGAGTGACAATGTTGCCGACAGTGACATTGCCGAGGACTGCACGTCCGAAGACGTAGATGGACTCGGAAGTCCTGTCGTCTCTATCCGGCGTGGTGGAGCGCATCCAGAAGCCATCAGGTCCCTTGGCAGTGACCAGTCCACGCACTCCAGTCACATTCTGGCCACTGAATGGCGAGATGTATCTGTTGCCATTGATCTGGGCGATTGTGGGGTTTACCTGCTGGCTGACGGCAGTCGCACACAGCGCCGCCACGGCACTGAGCGTGCTGAAGGAAAACATGTCGAAGGACAGTATGGAAGTGTGTACACGCTCTTCACGCCCACCTTTTGTGGTCCCCCAGGCCTTCTCGATATATACTCACATGTCCGGTCGTCCTGCCTATTCGAGCATTGAGCCACGGCAGACGAGCCAAGGCATTTCGCTGAGCTACTCGCCCATGGCGCGCTCCCACTGGCTGCAGTGTGCGAAGGGGCGCGACGATCTCATCTTGGCCGTGGTGGTGTGCCTTGCACCGGCTATCAGCTTATTACAGATTGTGTGCATGTCTTGGCCTGCTTCTTGCGGCCTCGTGTCTGATAAGAGCCATGTGACTGGTTGGCGGACATGGGAGCGCGGCTGACGATGGCCTCGGACGCAGGTGCAAAAGCTTGGTCAGAGAGGCGAGATGCGAACGCGTCGTTCGAGAAGGGCGGCGAAGGTGGAACATGCCGTGGACGGCGGTGGCGATGGCGGCGATGGCGACGATGAGGTGGGAAGAGGTTGAGTTTGAGGGAGGCGAGATGATGATGTATGTCAAACCGCAGGCGATGGACGCGTCGCACATCCGCTGGCGCGCCAGTGCTCATGTTGACAGCAGCCGCGACAACACCACCTCACCATGTCGAGCTTGTACGCCGTGCGGTATTTCGTGTCGTTAACAGTGAGTGCTGTTGAGTGTCGCAACATCCTTCTCCAATCACCGGCGCAATGCCAGTGAACTGATGAAAAATGAACTCGTCGCAGCGACGACGAGGGTGGCCATCAAAAATTGCGCCAGCTGAGCCCCCGAAGGAGATCAGATCCAGTCAGTCGCCGCGCTGTGCAATGCAGGACCTTCTGAATGGCTCTGGTATTCGTGTGCACCAGATGCCCCAACAAGGTCTGCCACATGTTAGCATTCGTTCAAAGTGCAGGGTGCAAATAGGGTAGAACTCACAAGTATGCGGAAGAAAGAGGTTTCGAAGGAGAGGAAGGTTCTTATGCTGAGGAACTGCGCTAGCGCCCGCGGCAGCGGCCCGGTGCGGCTAGGCAGCAGCCTCAGTCGGACTGCCCAGCTGTCCATCAATTTGTGGGCGGGAATTTGATGGTCGCTCGACTGAGACCGCACTTTGTGTGCACTTTTGTGCACATCAGATTACGGCTCTGCGATATCCGACCCTACAATCCCGTCCAAACGGGTCGACGCCGCGATCTGGCATAGCCCGACTGAAGGGTCCATCTATCGTCCAGAGCTCGTCGCCTTCGCCTTTGCCGATAGCAGAAATGGTGCACAGCGCCGGCCAGCGCCATTGCCTGCAGGATCGACGCTACTGTATATGGCACGACAAGCTTCACCGCAGTCTGGTTCCTCGTCGCCATGGAAATGCACTCTTGTGAAAGAGCTACAAATGGTTCAAAAGACAACGTGTGCCGAAGATGGCTACCGTCGCTCATGTCGTCAAGGGTCAGATGCCGGCTGGAAATCGTCCTGGACATCGCCGCGTCTGAAGAGGACAGTCTGGCCCGGAGTCGCCATTGGAAGCCATCTCTACGAAACACGACGGTGCTCAATTCTACGGGTGCAGCCGCCATGGCCGATATCAGCCGCAATTCTGCCCGCCTATGGGCTCTTTCACGCAGTGCCTTAGCTCCTTCATGCCGCCGACCATGTGTCTTAAACTGCATCAGGATTCTTGGCTAAATGGCGGATGCAGCAATAAATGGAAAAGAAGTCTCGAGGCCTCACGTCGTGGACTCTCTGCTAGTCCACAGACGCAACGCTATGAAATCGGGAGCAGGTGCAGGACATGTAGATCTGTCCCTCGTTCCTCACCTAGCACTGCTCTCTCACTATCCACCAGCTGGCCAGTGACGAAGAAATTCTCCAATCGTGATCAACCAGAGTAAGGCGCTGCACACAGTGCTCGAAGAAATGCATTATTTGCTCCTCCTTCCTCTCGTGTGGGCGCTTGCGCAGGCACAAGAGAATTGCGGACACGTACAAACCTGTCGCTTGGAGAATCCTTCTAATTATCCATGGAACGCAGCCATTGTACGCAATTCACCTTCTCTACACTTTCTGCCCGCAACAAGCCATCGACTAATTCCTCCCAAAGGACTGTAGGAATAAAAGAATTTGCCAAGAAGACAACGCCTGTCAGGGCGGTCTGGAATGCAAGGATGGTGGATGTGTAAGTTACAGTGTGTGGGATGCTTTCGATACATAGCTGATCCGCTCGCAGTACGAGAACGACTCCGCCATCACATGCTGGGTACGATGTTGCCATAAGTAACACGTGAAAGAGACCTCGACTCTTCATCGCACAAGTATGGGAATACGGTGACGTCTGCAAGGTAGTCGCTCCCTGACCAAGCGGGAAACCCGTCCTACCGCAACAGACACAGCCCCGACAGTCAGCAACTCGGCAGCTAAAAGCGTCCGTCGACTCCTCACCGCTGAAGGCTCGCACTACAGGCATCAAGCTCTAGGACATGAAAATCGTGCGCGGTGCATATGAGAGAAATGGTTGTCTCCTGTCGCAGCGCATGGTAGTACGGAACTTATTGAGGATAAGAATTGATTCCCTGCTCCAAAGATATTTCATTCGTTCCTGAGGTCTAGGCCCCAATAACTGCGCGAGAAGCAGGCTACCAGCCATCCCATCCTCCAAGGCGCAAGAACACTATATGCAGGGACGTGGATTCCCCACACGATCGCCATTCCGCTAGTCTACAGTAAGTTCACGAACTGCGGGGCGCAACCACAGTTATTCCCATCGCCGTCGCCATCCTCTCGTCGACCTCGTCACCGTCACCGACGCAACCTGTCCAGTATGCCTTCCGACGAGGTCGCGGCGGAGACGAAGCTTCAACGCAAGAGAGCACGCGATCGTCGTGCGCAGCGTCTCGCGCGGGAGAGGACCAAAGCGCGCGTCGCCTCGCTGGAGTCTCTGGTGCAGGATATTGTGCAGAGCGACACCGACGGAAGCAATGCTGTGCTCCTCCGCGAGGTGGCAATGGTGAAGGAGCAGCGCGATCAGTATGCAACGGCGCTGCAGCACATCGCCAAATTCGTGGCCTCGCACCTCGCTTCGCAGACCACTCCCGCCGTTTCGGGCGCGCAGTGCCACATTCTCGAAGACTTGCTTCCATCACCCACCCCGGTTGGTGCGTCAGTATCCCTACGCCCGCCGAGCCCATGCGACCAACGTGCCGAGCACTGCATTGGGATCCACGACAGCTGCCATGCTTCACAGCCGACTCCCGAGCACAATGGCAGCACACTGCTAGACATACCCGCCCTGGACCCGCTGGCCGAGCTGACCTCGATTGATGGACCAAGAGACTCATGCCTCATCGCTGCACAAGGCGACACTGCACATGAGCCGACGGATGCCGGGACGCTGGCGACACATGAGTCTTCGATGCAGACGGAAGCCTCGATTGCCACCTGTCATTGTGAGCCGGCACAGGATCTGCCCGATCGTGCACCGGAGAATCGCTGGCGTAGAGTGAAAGAGAGCCTGGCGAAAAGCACACAAGTCGAGTTGCACAAGGGACTCCTCGCCGAGGCCATCGACGATGACATCCCAGTGCGTGCTGTGCTGGAAGGCTGGCACGCGGCGGAGAAGTTTTGGGGTTTGACCGAACTTACACTGCTGTGGCAGATCTTACGTGGGATGGACGAGGCCATATTTGCGCGCGACAGTGGCCCCGTGGAACGAATCGCATGCCTTCGAATCGTGTACCACCGCCTTGTCTTCCTCTGCGAATCACGGCCAGGTAGGAACGCAAGTCTGCCCTCCTGGTATTTTCCAAGGTTTGTTCTGCATCTCTCGAGTCTGCAATACGGACATCCCGCTGACCACAATGCATCAGACCCTCGCAAGATCTTCCACATGCCAATGCGATTGATTTCATTGTTTAGTAAGTCCTCCACGGGTATAGATGATGCTTTGAGGCCGTGGCAATGACTGTGGTACAGGCCTGGCGTGCGTGAGCGATTCGTGATCCATCAGCATCGGTATTGCTCCAATTCCTATTGGGAGACCTTCGCCCGCCAATTGCGATTTTTATGGCCATACTCGCAACGGGACTGCTACTTGACGCTCGGGGATGCGTACAAAATCTCACCGTTCTTCGACAAATCTGTTGGCGACATCAAACGATGGACGTTGGATTCCGATTTTTTCTCTGTCTATCCAGAGCTGTCAAGCGACATACCCATGTACAATGGTGTGCCGCGGAGTCTGTCAATAGTCCAGCCGCAGAAGGCGAGAGCGTGGAGAGACGGCCAGGAGAGGTTGGGAAGCATACGATCGCATGCTGCCTCAACGACCTACAGTAACAGCAGCGCGTCGATGCGTGGTGTGGAGACTGATCTGTGGTTCGATACGAACAGCGATATTGGCTTCAATGCTACGATATTTGACCCTACCTGGGAACTTCCTACAATCTGAGTTCAAGAGAGCATACACGAATTGTCGACAAATGGCAATCATGTGAGGGGAGCAGAATGAGAAGGTACGTACGAAGGTGATCCCAATCATTGCGGGGTTCTCTGCCGAGGTCACGGATCTGTCTGCGCTATGTGCAGTCAGTCATAGCCTTGGGCGCACACCAGGCGCTGCGCCTGTGATCAAGTGTGCACACTGGGTACGTCTTTACGCATGTTGTTCTAATTCTACACTGCATTGCGTGCCAGCACTGACTCGCTTGGGTTATCTCTCACATAGGCCCTACAAGCTGCCTTTTCCCCACGAATCAAGGCATCCCACTACTGGCAAGCCGCGTCAAATGCTCAGCCTTCCGAACTACCACACACACTCCTCGGACTCGCTGTCGCTTGCGGATCGGAAAACATGTCTCATAATGTGGCCATCTACGGAACAGGAGCGATCGGATGTTGTTGCGCGTACGTCCTCACCCAAGCAGGATGCAACGTTACCGTGATCTGTCGGTCGAATCATGATGAGATTAAGGCTGGTGGCATCACCATCGACGCGGAGCTCTGGGGGAAGGGGCTGGCTTGCCATCCACGCGTCGTGCGAACCCCAAAGGAGGCAGTACAGTCAGGCGAATTCGATTTCGTGCTAGTGACAGTGAAGGCACTGCCAGGGACTGGAGTTCCGGCGGCGATCGCTCCCATCGTGACCGAGAGCAAGACGACCATTGTGCTCGCGCAAAACGGTATCGGCATCGAAGCCGAGCATGCCAAGGCCTTCCCCAACAACACGCTATTATCGTGTAGCGTCCTCATGCCCGCCGAGCAAGTTCGACCAGGACACGTCGTTGGAGTGTGGTTCGAACATCTCGAGATCGGGACATTTCCCAGTGAAGCGTACACCGCGAGTGCTGTGGCCAGGCAGTCCGCAGAACTTTGGACATCCACCTGGAAACTGGGGGGAGGAAATGCAACATTGTACCATGACATCCAGGAGCGAAGATGGACCAAATTGTTGATGAATGCCACCTACAATCCCATCGCCGCACTCACGCTGTGTCGCAACACGGCATTCTTCGGGCTGGGCGAGGAAGCTGTACATCTTTTCCGAGAGGTTCAGAATGAAATTATTGCAGTAGCGAACGCACTCGGGTACTCCGCCGTCAATAGAACTCTAGCCGATGAACATATTAAGCTCACCACGGATCGGATGGGGACAGAAGGTACAGAACCTAGCATGCTCACGGATATCTTGCGCGCCAGACCTACAGAGTATCAGGTAATACTGGAGAATCCAGTGCGCATTGCGAATCGTCTGGGCGTTCCTATACCACGGCTACACACACTCTACGTGCTGATGAAGGGCTTGGATGCTGCGATTACGCGGAGAACGCCAGGGATGTCGTTGCTTGGTACTCAGATATAAATGTGAGGTGTCAAGAGACGGCACTATCTAAGCGATTACTCACAGCGATGGTGCGAAGCACTTGCTAGTTCCCTTTGTTCAAAGAGCAGAGATGCGGTCGGTTTGATAACGACTGAACCTATTACCCAACATGTTGGCATATGGCGAGGTTGAATTGCAACTTCCAATCGTTGCAAGTGCAAGGTCGGTGCATGATGGATCAGTGGCTTTGTCTTGGCGGAGTGACAATTCCTATCAGTGTCGTTTGGCGACTTATCACCAAAGACATTCTTTGCCCCCAACGTCTGGAACAGATGGAGGTCTCACGATGCATTCACACAATGCATTCGAAAACGCCCTTCTCTGGATGCCAATCTTGCTCGTTGAGCCAACCCACTTGCTTGCGCTGACTTGATCGCGCTGACTTGACCGCGCTGACTCACCAGCCTCTCCAAATTGACCTGGTACTGGTTGCGACGAACGTAGCATGCACATACGAAATTTCATCTTTCATCTTTGAATCTGAATCTATAACGCTCCTCTTTCCACCATGCCAGCTCAAACCAACAATGTAGGCGGTGGGCATTCACCCAAAACCGACGGTAGTAATGACAGAGCTCCGCAGAACACGGCCAATCGAGGCGAAATGGGTGAATTCCCGTACCCACCTACATTCGACGATAAGCACGAAGAGCGCGAATATCTCAAGGGACGTCTTGCTGCAGCATTCAGGATCTTTGGCAAGTACGGCTACGACGAAGGCGTCGCTGGCCATATCACTGTACGCGACCCGGTAGACCCTACCACGTTCTGGGTGAACCCTTTTGGAAAGCCATTCGCGCTTATGAAGAGGAGTGATCTGATCCAAATCAATCACACTGGCGAAGTAATTGGCGGCGGTAAGAACCGATTATTGAACAAAGCAGCATACATGATCCATGCGGCTATCCATGAGGCTCGACCAGATGTCACATGTGCTGCCCACAGCCACTCATTCTTCGGACGGACATGGTGTACACTCGGCAGGAAGGTCGACACGCTCACCCAAGACGCATGCGCTTTTCATGACGATCATGTCGTCTATGATCGTTTCAACGGCGTGGTATTCGCGGAGTCAGAAGGTCAAAGCATTGCCAAATGTCTGGGGAACAAAAAGGCTGCATTGCTGCAGAATCACGGTATTCTGACCACCGGTAAGACAATTGAAGAGGTTCGTTGCGAAGTCTGAAGGACTCGTGCTCATGGACTGACTCTATGAGCAGACGGTTTTCTGGTTCGTCTCCCTCGACAAGTGCTGTCATACGCAACTGTTGGCCGAAGCTGCCGCGGCATCAAGAGGAGAGAAGCCAATCCCTATTGGCGAAGAGGAAGCTGTTTACACACACAAAAGTGTTGGCGATGCGCGTGTAGGGTGGTTCTCTGGTCAGCCTATGTTCGAATTGATACACGAAGAAACGAAGGGCGATTACTTGAATTGATAGGCTTTTTGATGTAATGCTTAGGTCTGAGATCGAACATTGTCCAAATCTTCAGTTGTGCCATCAAAGGCTGTTACGAGTTCGGTGTCATCCGGCTGATGCTGAGAGCGATCGGCGAAGTACCAATGTGGCAAGGACTCGACGGCGTGTGCCAGCAGCAGATGCAAAACCATAGGCGTTGAACACTTGACGACCTGATATGTACCCCTGAGTGTCAGCACATGACCCACGCAGGGTCTCGCGGCCGGTCGGAGGAAGCACTGCGCTGAGTCAACTGAGCGACTCAGCGCCAGCGTAGATCGTTGACGCAGCTAAGAGGGCACAATTTGCGGGGCTATGCCCTGATCAAGTGTCCGTCCAAATCAATAGCACTCAATACTTACTGTATCTATCTCGGGCACAAGAACCAGTGCATACTCTCAAGCAGAGGTGACACTGAAGTGCACGCATTCCATTGGAGCAAAAATCTCTTGCATCGAGTATGGCTTCACAATCAGCGACCAATGGCAACCCTACCAAAGCCAAGAAGACACACCACAATGCTATCGTTGTTGGTGGAGGCTTCAGCGGTCTACGAGCACTGTACGAAGTTCAGAAGCAAGGATACGAAGGGCAGGCTTTCGAAGCTGGAAGTGGCATAGGAGGAGTATGTCGTCGCTGCCAGGACACAGAGTCGCTGCTAACTTCTTGCAGACGTGGTACTGGAATCGCTATCCTGGCGCACGCACCGACAGTGAGAGTTGGGTCTTTATCTTTAGCTTCCTCAACGAGGTTGGCATGGAGTGGGTGTGGAAGGAGCGTTATCCGCAACAAGCCGAAGTCGAAGAATATCTGAACAAGCTGGCCGACCATCTCAAGCTGAGGGACAGCATTCAGCTGAACACGACTGTCGAGGCGGCACGGCGTGATGAGCAGCGGAATCTTTGGGTTGTCAAAACATCCGATGGCATCGAGCACACCTGCAAATTCCTGATAACTGGAACTGGGCCTCTCGCAACGCCAGTGGAGCCCCCTTTCACAGGACTTGCGAACTTCAAAGGAGAGTGGTATCGTACAGGAACCTGGCCAGATAATAAAGTGTCATTCGCGGGTAAGCGCGTAGCAGTCGTTGGAACTGGAGCTACCGGAGTACAAGTTATCCCTATCGTTGCCCATAGCGCCAAGCAGCTTACTGTGTTCCAAAGGACTCCAAACTACGTTATCCCAGGACGAAATCATCCCCTAACGCCAGAGCAAATGAGCGAGATTACGCGTGACTACAAAGAGATTAAACTTCGAGCATTGTCACAGGCCTGGGGTTTCGACATGGTAGATTCTCAACAATTATACGACATGATCAAGGATGACTCGAACGAAGTTCAGCGGGTGCTAGAAGGCGGCTGGGAGAAAGGCGGCTTCCGCTATTTCTTCGAGTCGTTCGCTGATCTACTAACTGACGAGGAGTGTAACCGGACCGTGGCGGACTTTATTCGTCGCAAGGTCAAATCCGTGGTAAAGGATCCGGAAACTGCAGAACTCCTCTGCCCGGACTATCCTGTCATTGCTAAACGTCCTCCACTCGGTCATCACTACTACGAGGCCTATAACAAGCCCAACGTACGCTTGGTAGATGTTAGCAAGAACCCGATTCAAGATGTCACACCAGTCGGGATCAAGACTGCAAACGAGGAGTATGAGTTCGACATGATCATCTTTGCTTTGGGTAGGGCTGTTTCATAACCCCCACAACGGTGCTTGCTGACATGTATACCTTCCAGGTTTTGATGCTGTAACCGGTACCCTCGCCAGAATCGACATCCGAAACGATAAGGATGAAAAACTTGGTGACGTTTTCAACCAGGACCTCCAGATCAACCTAGGTGTTACTGTTCCATCGTTCCCAAATCTCTTCATGATCTTCGTAAGTGACTGTATAAAATTGGCGAGCAGCCTTCGAGCTCCAGATCTCGAAATATCGCTAACATCTCTTCACACTACTTCTAGGGCCCAACAAGCGCTTTCGCGAATTCTCCAATGATCATCGACATAACCTCGGACTGGGTGGGGCAAACTCTCAAGTGGATGAAGGAGAACAACAAGGACCGTTGCGAGTCAACGGCAGACGGCGCTCAGAAATGGAGCGATCATGTCAGACTGGTCTACAACATGCTCGTCATTGCCAAACATGCGGGGTCCGTCACCAATTGGATGGTCGGCAGCAATGTGCCTGGCAAGAATGTGACGCCGATCTTCTACTATGGTGGCGTTCCCGCTTTCCACAAGGCACTTACGACGGAGAGGGAGGAAGGATATCCGGGGCATAAATTCGAGCAACGTAATACGTCCATCGGAGCAGCATAGCCACGAGGCTCCCTCTCGGTCACCGTAGCGCTGGGGGCGACTTTCGAATTGTCCTTATGTTTATCTGCACTGCGATTCTGGGAAAATCCATAGCTACTCTCTACCTGATTTGTCGTGATGCTGCCAACCAATGCCCTGTCTTGGTTTTCTATCACGGCAGTGATCTATGCAAAATGTTGGCCAAGCAGCCGTGCTGTCAGTAGCTGTAATTATTTCACCCATTGTGCCTATCGCTCTTGCATCAACAGCGAAGTCAATAGCGATCAATCAAAAACATCGATTCAAGCCAGCTTCGCACGGTGAAGTGGATATGACAAGCGCCACAACTTGACGCCCAGCCTTCCACCCATTGCACTGCAGATACCGACCCAGTGAAGTTCCACATGGTGTCACTCAAAGTGCCGAGGAAGGTTTTGACTTTGGTCATTCTTCGTGAAATTCCCACTCAGGCCTTTGAGAGTCAGCGCCGATGACACAGCTCTTAGCAAGCCAAGCGCAACCACGCCATCCGAACAGCTACAGCAATCATTGCGGGGCTTCAAGCCTTGCACAGCGCGTTGTCTTGCGAACGGAGCAGAGAACAGCACGTCTCACAACGTTGTCAACAGTTCTAAATATGTCCTCGCACGAAATTGATCCGCAAGCCAGTTCGCAGCCAGACGGTCAGGACTACCTCGAATTCACAGGCACCGGAATCGAACAGGTATTCCACAACCATCACCCGCGACCATGACTATCCGGCCATACAATCAATGCTGTACGGTGCGGGTGTTCCTAACGAGAACGCCATGAAGACCTATGCTCAGGTTGGGGTCGCATCCGTTTGGTTTCAAGGCAATCCCTGCAATATGCACTTACTTGACCTAGGAAAAGAAGTGAAGAGACAAATCGAGGCGCAGAACATGCTTGCCTGGCAGTATAACAGCGTCGGAGTTAGCGATGGACTGACGATGGGGACCGATAGCATGAGATTCAGTCTACAGTCTCGGGAGCTGATTGCTGACTCTATCGAAACTGCTACCTGCGCCCATTACCACGATGCGTGCATCACGATCCCAGGTTGCGACAAGAATATGCCCGGATGCGTAATGGGGATGACTAGACACAATCGTCCGTCGATCATGCTGTACGGCGGTTCTGTTGACATGGGCTATTCCAAAACGTTGCGGAAGAAGATCACTGGAGTGTCTGTCATCGAAGCACACGGTGCTTATTTGTACGATAAGCTGAAGAGTGAGGATGACCCTTCATTGACAAAAGATGATATCTTGACCGATATGGAGCGAAATGCCGTTCCTGGACAAGGTGCATGTGGCGGAATGTTTACAGCGAACACAATGGCAATGGTAAGTGGCAGTAGATGGGACCAGCGTTCACGCACACACGGCCATCGTGCACGACATCTGCGATGCACATCAATCATCCTTTTTCGTTGAACGAGGCACCAGGCTAACGAATTGGCTCTTTGCTTCCGCAGTCGATCGAGACAATGGGCTTGACTGTCACAGGCTCGTCGTCTACGCTGGCCAATAGCGCAGAGAAGATGCGAGAATGCAAGAAAGTCGCTAGTGCTATCAAGATCTGTATGGAGAAGAATATTCGGCCCCGCGATTGCTTGACAAAAGCGTCCTTCGACAACGCACTTGTCATGCTCATGGCACTAGGCGGGTCTACAAACGGTGTGCTCCATCTGCTTGCTATGGCTGGGACAGCGGGTGTCTTCCTGACCTTGGATGACTTCCAAAGAGTTAGCGATAAAGTGCCGTTTCTCGCTGATCTCGCTCCCTCTGGCAAGTTTCTCGTCGCAGATTTATACGAGATCGGAGGCGTCCCATCGGTGCAGAAGTACCTAATAGCTGCTGGTCTGTTAGATGGCAGCACGATCACAGTAACCGGAAAAACGCTAGCCGAGAACGTGGAGAGTTATCCCAGCCTGATGAATAGTGATCAGAAGATCATTAGGCCTCTCAGCGACCCGATCAAAGCTTCCGGCCATATTGAGATCCTCTATGGCAATATAGCTCCTCAAGGCTCTGTTGCCAAGATTACAGGGAAGCAAGGCATGAAATTTGTCGGAAAGGCTCGAGTCTTCGAGAAGGAGAAGGAGTTGAGTGATGCGCTGAACCAGGGCAAAATTCCAGCGACAGGCGGAAATCTCGTGCTTGTCGTACGCTACGAAGGTCCCAAGGGAGGCCCAGGGATGCCCGAGCAGCTAAAGGCTTCTGCTGCTATCGTTGGTGCAGACTTAAGGAACGTATCACTTATTACCGACGGTCGCTATAGCGGTGCCAGCCATGGCTTTATCGTGGGTCACATCTGCCCAGAGGCTGCGGTAGGAGGCCCTATCGCACTGATCCGCGACGGAGACACAATCACGATCGACGTTGTAACGCATAGAATCGACATGGACGTCCCGACGGAAGAGCTTGAGAAAAGACGAAGCGAATGGCAACCGCCTCGCAATCGGGTCAGGAAGGGCACATTGGCTAAATACGCGCGGTTGGTTGGTGATGCTAGCCATGGAGCCATGACGGATGACTTCTGAACAGTCAGTGTTTCGTATGGCCCAGAAGTGCACGAGACGTCGGCCTGAACAAGGCGCATGAGTTGTTAAAATAAAGGGAGAAACAACGTGGACAGACTTCCACTGCTGCTGGCATTTGTAGACTTCATATATATGACGCTCGGATTTGAAGATGTCTATACGTTCCTGTGAGCAGCGACGGAGTAGTGTATTTACATGCAGAACAAACAGTGTCCGTTTCGGTAAACAGGATCCATGTGCTGTGTCGACTCATTAGCATTTGTACATTCCTTGCGAAGTTTTCACACCAGTCTCTGGGATTTGCTCCAATCGACGCATTTCTCTTCGCTTCTGACTAATAATTTGGGAGAGTCAGTGCAGACTCCGAAGCTGACATCAGTGCTGTGGGGATCAGGCGACATCTGATTTACGCACCTGGTCATCCACAAAGCACATTTGCGTCTGAACGGCAACCAGATCGGAACGTTATTGCTCATAATGGCGGTGCCAACCAACCTCAGCTCCCTCCATCCGTTCTTGAGCAAGAATGAGACTGCAGTATCGTCAGGAGGATCTGTCATAAGCTACAGCCATGACCTCGGATCTGGGCCGATTCTTGTCATGGTCCACGGCTGGCCACAGACAAGTTACATGTAACAACGCCTCTGGTCATCTTGGGTGATCATTCGCTGACTGATATCAGGTGGCGTCACACTGCCCCCTTGCTCAAGAGCTCCATCAGCATGTTCATCGTTGAGCTTCCAGGCTACGGGATATCCTCACAACCTGCGGCAGCTGATAAGAGGACGGTGGGTCGCCTCATTGTCGACGCCGTTCATCGAGTTTTTGACGCACAACGACCTTTGATCTGGTGTGGACATGATCGAGGAGGCAGGGTAGGCCACCGGCTGGTTGTTGACAACGACCCTGCACACAACATCGTGTCCGCCATTGTCATGGACATTGTCCCCACATTGGAACAGTGGCGGGCTCTCACTAAATCTCGTTTGGCCATTCCTTACTATCATTGGCCATTCCTCGCCAATGAAGCCGCACCGTCTTTGATCGAGCAGATGGGCGCACGCAACTATTTGCTTCACAGTATTGAGCGAATGAAAACTATCAATCCAATAGGAGCCGCGCGATTCGACGAGAACGATTCCATCGAACACTATGCGCAAAATTTCAGCTTGATGAGCACGGTCAAAGGGTCTTGCGCCGACTATCACGCAGGAGCCACTGTCGACGTCGATGAACAGGAAGATGACATGAGAGAAGGCCGCAGGATCAAAGTACCACTGCTAGTGATCTATTCTGCACGGAATCTGGGTAGCTCACACGACGTTCTAGGACTGTGGGAAAAGTGGAGTGACTGTGAGGTGCGTGCCATTGGGGTGAAGGATGACATTGGTCACTTTTTGCCCGAAGAGGCACCAGAAGAGACTGTGGGACATATCAGACAATGGATTGAAGAGTACCCTGGATGAAATAGCGACAATGATGATCTCGAGCGTGGTCACCAGGAATCAGGCAGAGCCTGAAACAGAGCCTGATCCGCAATTCTTTCTTCCTCACCCATAGACAATGAATCTGATTCATTTTCCATCATGGCTGTACTCGCGGCCATGGCCAGTTGGTGCAACTTCTGCTGGAAGCTCCATCCTGCACTATTCCATTTGGACTTCTGCTTCAGCCACTCCCAGGAATGTTCAGTCATCTCACCGTGGGACATCCCCGTCTGTGCATCCAGCACACAGTCAATGTGAACCTGCTTGGCGCACTCACGAGCAGTGACATTCAGTCCGGCATCACTAAGTGCGGTAGACAGCTTTTGCACCGGGTTCCTTGACAGTTCGTTTTCTCCCCAGAGCACAAGGATGTCATCCACGGCGAGGCCTTTCCACCAGCTAACTTCGGCGCGGACAGGTTCCGAGTAGTTGTTGTGATCATCAGACGAGATATACTCGTTCGCCCAATCAAGATTCACACTGACTGAGGTGATGTCTTGGTCGGCACTGGACCTGCAAGACTCCCAATCGGGCGAGAAGGTCACCCAAGGGCATATGAGTAACGCCCCCTTCAAGGGTGTCTTCAATTCCAATTTCTGTATCAACGGCGTTGAATGAGAAAAGCTGGAAAGTATGGCGAGCGCCATGTTCCCACCACACGAGTCGCCACCGATCAGTATCTTGAGAGGTTTCGTCAGTGAATGTTGAACACCCATTGGAGATGCTTGTAAGATCACTGACGCTGCTGGGTTCATAGCCACTGGTCATGACTTGGATTAGAGCTTTACTCGCCTGATTATACTGAACTGGATATCGATGCGTTGGACTCAAACCTTTGCGAAGACAATCAGCACATTATGCGCGCGATTGGCTTGGTCAAACTTGCAGCTTACCGTATTCTAATAGGGCAACAACCAGTTCGTTGCCGGTCTTCTTGATGCACGAATCGAGAAAGTCAATGTGACCGGGGAATGCCCCTAAGCCAAATCCTCCACCTTCATCGGTCGCAGAGCGTCAGTCGAGTTGTCCCGTGAATTGGCTTACGCCAAAGCAGAAGACTGAGCGCAATACCGTGGAAGTATAGCAGGACTGTGGGGGCCGTCCGAGCTCCTAGCCAATAAATTCGGGCGCCATGAGAGTCAGCCAGATCCTGCACCTCCCAGGAGAGTCCGATCTCGTTGCATCGTGATGGCACTGTTGTTGCGGTGGGCTGAGACGCTGCTCGAGCCAACTCAGTAGTGCCAAGCGCCGTCTTCAACGCAGAGTTGCGAGCATCGTGCTCGGCTGATCGTGACCGTGACATGTTACGATGAACCAGCGTTCGATAGATAGATCTGGACCTTCTAGTTGGTAGTTTTGCCCTTCAAGAGTGTGCATATATGCTTGATGCGTCTGTGCCGCGTCCTGGTCTGGGTATTCTATTGTCAGGGTCCGCTGACGCCGCCTGTCTGAGTCAGTGAGCGTTAGCTCAAAATGTGCACGGCATCAGGTCGTCCTCGCACGGCCAATTGATTGTGTACTGTAAGCCAGACAGCAGTATCACAACTCGTGTTGTTCACAATTCCCGGCTGGATTATGAGATTGATTACCAGCCCAGCAGTACCGCTCACAATGGACGACACAGTACCGCGAAGCAGGCAAATTCACTCCCATCTAGCAACGTCAGCCATATTGAAGGACTGGCTATCGTGGTGGGTGCATCATTTACGCTGTTTTGGACTCGTTTCTGGCTCACAGCTCTCGCTTGCCCTCGTTCGGCGGCCAAGGGAGAGCTTCCTCATACAGCTTGCGGGGCATGCCGATGGGATGTACGTTTCTGAGCGCTTCGACCACTTTGAGTTGCGACATCTCGCTATGATCATTCGCTAACTTTGAGGGTACGAGCGAGCACAAATAGCGTGCATGAAATGCAGGCTACGCCGCAGTGCCTGGCAAATTTGGCCTGTCCCGTCGAGATATCAAATTTCGACGCATTTTCCTTCACACGACATACCTGACTCTGAAAGACTCTCGCAGTTCGCTTATGAACCTGCGAATTATCTATATATGCCAGCATACCAATCAGCTCACCCTGGTAGAAAGTAGCTGCCATAGTACACATGCAACTCAAGTCGTACACCTTCACGGCGAGTAATCCGCAGGGCATTCTGGCCCACAATTCTCCGCTGCATGAACGAGAAGCGTCTTGGCCGTCCATTTTCCGTAGCAATAGCAGTTCGCAGCGTTGCCGTTCTGCTCATCTTGCCTCCCTGTAAAGTGGATGGTCGCGTCAATTTTTGGTCACGATGAAGCAGTACAGACTGTCTTCATGCCGGGCTGAACTTACAGCAACAGGTATCATTCCAGGTGCAGGCAGGACCACAAGCCCTATTGTCTGCCGGGCAATTGGAACCCTCATTGTACGTCAAATGGCCGCGGATATAAAGATCGCTGTTGCAGAGGCAGCAGACTGTGCTCGGATCATGATTCACGACCTCATCTGCGAAAGTGTCAGCAACCAGCAGAAAGGACACTGTAGGAAAGTGTATTCATACAGCAACATTGTGCATGAATGCTGGGAGCCCGTGTCAGTCTCTGATCACCTGGTATTCGTCCATACAAGGTAACCTACTCCGGTCTTCCTTTCGGACCGAAAGGTATTGAGCCTCGTCCCAAAGTGAACTTCGCAAGGCCGAAAAACAGCAGCGATTGGAAACGCATAGCTGCTCTGCGAAGGGCAGGCAATGAGGTCGATGCCTGCGTGATTAGTCTCGACGATAGATCAAACAAGCAGCAAACAGGCCAAGTGTGGGTAGGCTTCTCTGCAGAGGGTATTCAGTCAGGTGACAAAGTCGGTGGTGTAATAAAGATTCATGTTCTATTCAATGGAAGGTAGCGAACGAGCTGGCTCTATATACCACTGCCTCGGAACGGAACGTGCGTCTTCCGAAGGTTATAGCTTAAGCCGGTTCATGCGAGGTGGCTACCACGCCATACCAAACCGATACTAGCAATCTCTCTTTTCTCGCATAAACTCGGATAAAAACGCAATAAAACAATGCCTCTAATAACTAGTAGTATATCTCTAGCTTATAATTAGCTGCTAGCCGTTCGTATCCGAATCCGTATTGCCTTACTATATAGATATTCTTACTAAGTAGGTTTATCTTTTAACCTATTCTTAGATATTATATATTATAGTTCCTTAGTTAATAAGTATTATTAAGGCCTTATTTAGTATTATTTTAGTTATAGCGTCGGTAGAGTTCGTAGTACTATTAATCTATTATACTTTATAAACCTCTCTTACTTTATATATCTAT